CATACATACATACATACATACATACATACATACATACATACATACATACATACATACATACATACATACATACATACATACATACATACATACATACATACATACATACATACATACATACATACATACATACATACATACATACATACATACATACATACATACATACATACATACATACATACATACATACATACATACATACATACATACATACATACATACATACATACATACATACATACATACATACATACATACATACATACATACATACATACATACATACATACATACATACATACATACATACATACATACATACATACATACATACATACATACATACATACATACATACATACATACATACATACATACATACATACATATACATACATACATACATACATACATACATACATACATACATACATACATACATACATACATACATACATACATACATACATACATACATACATACATACATACATACATACATACATACATACATACATACATACATACATACATACATACATACATACATACATACATACATACATACATACATACATACATACATACATACATACATACATACATACATACATACATACATACATACATACATACATACATACATACATACATACATACATACATACATACATACATACATACATACATACATACATACATACATACATTACATACATACATACATATATACATGCTTACATACATACGAGAGAGGGCGATTGGGGAGAGAGAGGCTTGGGGGGATGGGGAGGATGGGGAGCTGAGGGAGGGAGAGAGGACGACAGAACACACAAGGGAGACAAGGGAGAGAGGAAGAAGGAGAAAAGGGAGAGGACAATGTCGGCGGACTGAGCCGGAGGCTGTAAAGTATATATATATATATATTTAAACTGGACTCCTTTACAAGGGAATCCCTGGGTTCATTCTCAAAATCCCTTCTGAGCACCAGCAAGTTTGGGGCCCCCAGTTTTGACCATGCGTACTTCAAATGCCATTTAGTGAGACATGTCTCATCTTTTTAGTCGGGGAAAACCCAATGATCATGCCATGTTTTCAGGACCTTTTGATCAACCCCCATGTTCCCCAGAGCACTGTGTCTCACTTCCCAACGAGTGGATTGGCAACAAAAAACAGTGACCAAACTTTCTATTTACGTACCACTAAGATGGTCCAAACCCAAAAAGTGACTTTAGTCCAGGAACTCAGGAACTGAGGTGTGCGTGTAGTGGTTCGGGGTTTATATGCTGAGACGGGCTGGCAGGAGGCTGAGACGGGAGGCTTCGCGGCAGGAAAGTGTTTTTGCGGACGCTCTTGTAGCTTGCCAATTACTTTTAGCTACCCTTCGCGAAGTGTCTTTGCCTGTATCACACCATAGGGCCTCCGCGAGAGTTTCGCGAGCCTTCACAGCACACAATCCATCACACAAGTGTCTTCGCGGACCTTTTCGGCGTTTCCCCCAGCGCTAACAAATTCTTCATCAGGAAAAAAACAGCTCTACTGGACTCAAGCAACATATGCTCCTTGTCGTTGTTTGCTGCGCTTTCGCTTTTTGTCTTCAGTATGCAGGCATCTTTGCGGAGTTCTCGCGCTTTCTGTCGTTTTCCTAGCTTTTTTCACGCGATGTCTTGCTGCAAGTCTTGCTTTGCCATAGCCTTTTGACGCATCTTGCGTGCATTTCTTAGCGAGAGCCAACCTCAATCAGTTCCAGTGCTACGCAAGATCGTGTGAGATCCGACGGCATTTGATCCCATGTTGTTGGCATGCGCAGCTCTGTTACTTTGGGTTGTCCTGATGCATGTCGCAGGGTACGCCCGCAGGTTGCCCAAGAATCTGGGTGAATCATAATATTTCACCAGCCTGAAATAAGGTGGTTGGGGGGCCATTTCCCGCATAAACCACCATTTGGGGTGAATTCGGTCGTGTGAGGTTGTTATAATTCGCCCAGAAGAATACATGATGACACGGTCCAGCTTGGTCTCGCTTTGACTTTCGGGGGTTGACATCTGGAGCTCGGACAATACCAGTCACACTGTGGATCCAATCATTTCTCGGCTGGAATTAGGACCCTAGCAAAAACTTCTTCTTTTTTTTAGCCTGGTTAGTGGAAAACAAAGGTTTCTAAAAAAAACAAAATATAAAAAAAGCACTAATTCTGGGGAAGATTTTAGCAGGCCCAAATTCCTCTGGCAGAAGGTCGAGCCCTTTCGACTCTTCGCTTGCTTGGTCACTTCAACGGGGAACGGGCGTGAACGGAAACATTTTGGCATGCGCGTGTTCCCCTCTGTTTGTGGTGTGGTTAAATTGATATTTTCTCGTGTTTTTGGGGGTACCAAATTATCCACATAAATATGTGAAATCACTCACGTGGAGAAACATATCCTGCGGGATACAAAGGGTGGGGGAAAGGGGGTGTTTCTGATCTGCCCTGCACGTTTCAGTAGACGCGATTGTACCTCCCAACAAAATTTCTGTGCAAGAGCACATTTGCCTTCATCACCCCACCATTGTTCAGTGTGTTTTTTTTCTGCTATTGGACACCTGCTTGCCCAACCCAATCGCAGGGCCTTGCCATTGCAACCTCCCCCCCAACCCCCGCACACGGCTGATTTGCTTGCAATCTCTAGTGCGTTCTTTCGCATCTGCACAACTACAAAACATCCATATTACATTTTTTTTGCCCCCCCCCCGGCACCCTGGACCTGCAAACCGCCTCCACCGCCCTAATCCCCCCATCCCCCATCCCACCCCCCCCCCCTCCAAGAGCAGCCCGCCTCCGGCCAGATGGCCCACCCTGGCGGCCCCTTCTCGATACCGGTGGCGGTACGGAGCACCGCGTTCAGCACCCGGCAGGCGTCGCCATAGGGCGCCTGCGCCGCTCGAAGTCTCGGTTTTTTTTTTTTTGCCACGCACACACCTCCCTCCTGGTGGGACAAAGGCCATCTTCCGGTACCGTGCCAAGGGGCCCTTGGGCTGTCCAAACTGAGCCGAGTTGACCCGCAAGAATTTGGGTTGACAGGGAGAAGAGGGAAAAGCTGAAAACAATCCCAAGTTCTCTCCGGATGCTTCGCTGGTTCGGGCAGTTGGCCAAACGGTTGCCTTCTAGCCCAAGTTTCTCCGCCCAAGGCGATCTCGCATCAAAACCGCAAAGCCAACCCAACACGCTGACCGAAGAATCCGATTTTTCCGGATGGCCGGGGAGTTCAGGAGTTCAGGGCAGTTGCTAGGTCCTCCAGTAGAGAGGTGAGAAGAAGTTGGTACCGCAACTTTTTTCGTTTTTGTCTATTTTAGTAGGGTTGAACCCTCCCAACCAAGTTGGTAAAAGGGCACCTGTCCGGAAACTGCCACTAAACACTAAAAGGCTAAAAAGCTAAGGAACCGGGTTTTCTGGGAGCCACCGGGATTAGTTGGCAAGACGTTCAGGTCCTAACATCCCTCGGCAAACTGCGCCAAAGAAACAATGGAGGAGCAAACAGACCCCCGTAAAGAAAGACGATGATTTACTCTCAGAAAGGGGGGGGTTGTGCAGTTCCATGTTCGCTGGTGAGAGGGTACATCCACAGTGAAGCTTGCCTTCCTCGCCGGCCGGCCTCCTCCAGCCAGGCGATGAGCTCCAGGCGCTTGGCGAAGATCACTTCGAAGAGCTCCGGCTCCGGCATGCCCAAGGTGTCCTCTGAAACCAGAACGGGGAGCTCCAAAAAGGTGCGGCCAACGGCCAACTGGGGGCTTCATGTTTTTTTTTTTTTGTTAGAGGTTTGGGGGGGGGGACACCTTTTGAAGGCTTCATGTCGGTGGTATTATTTTGGTGTTGGGGGTGGGGGAAGCACCCAGGCGGCCAAGGGCAACCAACACCTGGCCAACACTTTTGTGGGTTTCAGGTCTTTGATAACTTTTGGTTTTGGGGAGAGGGAAGCTTCATGTCTTCTTTTTGGGCGCTGGGGAGGGGAAGGGTGTTGAGACATGTTGGCTCCCAGTTCTCGCACCCAAGACCCAGCAAAACAATTCTTTTTTGGGGGGGCTTCATTTGGCTTTGGCTGTCCACGTTTTCGCAGGAAACCAAGTGCAAGCAACAGGTTTTGGGCTTGGGTTCCAACTCTTTGGCGTTGGGGTTCATTCAAACCAGAAAGGATATGGGCCAAAACTAAATACTAGTCAGTTGTTTCCATTAGGGCTACCCATGTTGGGTAACTACTTTTCACCCACACCCATGTAGATGTAGACATTGGTACACATTGCCCATGTACCCAGTGACTTCGAGTGAGTGGTCAAGTGGGTGAGGTGAAAAAAAAACGGAAACCACGCAATGGCAAATTACCAATTTGAATCCTAGGATCTGGAGGTTGAAGGGAACACACCCTTCAGTCCTTCAGTTTCTCCCTTGGCCCCTAGAGGGAGGGAGAGAGCAAAACACAATGATGAGAAGGTCTGGCATGGACCTTTGGTTGGAAAACCGCGAAATGGGAAAAGTCATGGAAAAGTCAGTCAGTCTTCATTTATCATGGAATCTTCGAGGGGGCTATGGGGGGGGCTTTCCCTGGATAAGCCCAGGATAACCCAAGGATAAGCCCTTAATAAGGCCTTATTAAGGGCTAAATAAGAGATAGCCCCCCCTCGCCATAGCCCCCCTTGGGGGGCCATGAATTTGCCACAACAAAGACTTGATATTTCAACCACATGGTTGATAAGTTAATTCGCCATCATTTGGTTTGGCCGAAGGGAATGTATATCTCCCCCCCATCAGATCACAGGAACAAAGCCTAAAGTGTGTCTCCAACAGTCCGAGCAGATTCCATGGCGATGGATCTTCCTTTAGCTTTCGAGCAACCCTCTTTGGGTGTGATAGATCCTGAAAACCGCAACCTCAGCTTTTGCCAAAGTCATATCTTAACTTCTGGTTCATATGCCATCCATATGGCTGTGGGTCAAAACCCTGTACCCCTGGCGAACATCAAAATTGGTGGCACATGGATATTCATCCCCAAAATGGGATCGCCATGGGTTATGCAACCCATGGCCATATTAATATGTATTTGGTGCACCTGCCGTAAATCGAAAGTTTCAGAGTTTCTTTCGATCCATTTGCTTAAGCCCCCTGGAAAAAATGAGAAAATATGTCCAGTAGTGAAATCGATTCCCTTTAACACCAGCAAGGGAAAAACCAAACATGTTCCATGGCCATATTATATGTATTTGGATATGGGTCAAAATCTGCAGGTTTTAGTCCATGTTTCTTCCATTTACCAGGGTTCCATTTCGTGAACCTGACGTAAATCGAAAGCTTCAGAGATGTTTTCGATCCCCGATCCTCGTTCCAGGTGTGCCGAGAGGTGAGGAAGACGAAGGAGCACAGAAGGGACTCCACCAAGTCCAGCGTGAGCTCCTCACTTTGAGTACCCTCCCACCCATAACGTGGAACCTGGCAGGGGAGTCCTGGTTTGGACCCCTCCCACCCACAACATGGAAGGAACATGCTCCTCACCACTTTGCAGAAGTACCCTCCCACCCATAACGTGGAAGGAACCTGGGGGGGTCCTGGTTTGGAACATTTTCCTTTTAAAGGGAACCTCCTGTCAGGCGGTTGATTGGTGGGAGCTGCTTAAGAAACACAGACCCCAGTATCTCAGAAGAAAAAAAAGGGGCCCACCAGGAAGCTCCACCAGGAAGTTCTTCGGATCTTTGGTTACGGGGCCAAAGCGCCCAAGCCTGTGGCTTGTGCAAGCCTGACGCAACATCGCAAAATGGCCATCCCTCCACTGCAAAACCTGGAAATCTATACGCCTTTTGGAGTTGCAAGCACCGAAAATCCTACACAAAGCATTCAAATTGCACTGCTCCTGTTTCGTTGATTTTGACTTGAGGTCCCGGATAAGGAAAACCCCGTCCCCCCTTCCAAATGATTTGCGACAATAGACCAAGCCAACTAACCCTTACCCCGTAACACCCCATGTATTTATCATGCTAAACCAAATTATCCCATGCGTAGTTGTCCAAGACCTCAAACCCGTCCTCGGATTTTCCACCAAGAGTGACTGACTTTCTTTCAGTGCGCGAAATTCGGACACCCCCACTAAACAAGAAAACATAATAATAATAATAATAATAACAATAATAGAAACAAATCCCCCCCCAAAAAAAAGAAAGAAAAAACACAAAAACTAAAAGCCTAAGGAACCGGAAGCCTGGGAACCGCCAAGCGCCACATGAGGGCGCCAGCTTCTCCGAACAGCCCCGCGCCTCTGGCCGGAGGTTCCGCAGTAGGAGCACCCGGTGCGCGTGCAGCTGGCAGGCCAGGTGCGTCCTGGACCCGAGGCGACCTTTCTGGATGGGTTGCTTCGTGGCAACTCGGGAACGAACCATTTTTTTGAGAGGGGTTCTTGTTGGTTGCAGGGAGCATAAAGGAAACCCAAACTTCTTTAAAAACGAACAAACAAAAACGACACGTTTTTTGATGTCTTTTGGAGGGAACCCCCGTTTGGGATCCCAATGAGAAAATAGAAGGACCACGAAAAATGACCAGCTGCTGCGAAGATTGCCTTCGCTGAGAAGCAGCAAGACTGTTTCGTGGGGATTCATTCCAGGGCCCTCTAATCAGGGATCCCCAAAGAACCAGCGATGACCTGTCGAGGCCTTCTGATTTTTCTGGGGGTCCGGAGGGTTCCATGATGACCAGGTGCTAAGAGATGTCAACAACCCTGGCCCCGGCCCAAGCCGGGGCCAATATTTGACAGCCTTTTTAACGTTCTCAGATGACGGCCGACGGCTTTCTTGGGCAAAATCTGTCTCAACAAGCTCATATGGTCGCCTTCCATCTGATTGGGGGTTTTGGTTGGTTGGTGGTTGCATTCAAGAGCAAAAGGTAGCTGTATTTATGTGGTTCTACCACAAAACGGAGCAGCCGAATTCTGCATCCCAGCAGGCAGGATTGCCAGCTGGGGTTGGGATGCTAAAAATCCAGGCGTGGCGAGCACAACCATCCCCCCCGCCCCCGCGCATCCGGCTGGCAGTGCAAGGCAACCAAGCACATGAAACAAAACCGACCATGGAAGACGTGGAGTGTGGAGAACCCCTTTCTTTGATGCAGAACAAAAAAGTCTGACGAGAAGTTGCCCAGCAATCTACGTAATGAGTTCTCGAGAAGCCATGCTGCCAGTGTTCACCACTACCCCAATCAAACAGTTGAAAGCTGGTGGCAGACATCGAACACCTCCCCCACCCCCACCCCCCCCCCGGCAAAGCCCCTCCGCCAGGGTTGGGGTGAACATGCTCTAGGACAAAGCAAGGCCACATAACGCACGCCGTACCCCTTGGAGCTTTGGTAGGTCCCTGAAAAGCTCTTCCCCTCTTATCATCCTACAATTGCCGAAATGTCTATTGGGGTGGTGTTTGCTGGTTCTTCTCTGAAAGGGTTCGACTGATCGTCCAAACGTTGTCTGTTTCTCATTTAGGCAGAAACTGAAAAGCTTAACTCTGTGCTTGTAGGGGCCATGAAGGACAGCGCAACAGGTTACAAATTTGATAACTTCGCAACTTCACAACCAAACATGAAAAGAACCAAAACAATACAACAACAACAACAACAACAACAACAACAACAACAACAACAACAACAACAACAACAACAACAACAACAACAACAACAACAACAACAACAACAACAACAACAACAACAACAACAACAACAACAACAACAACAACAACAACAACAACAACAACAACAACAACAACAACAACAACAACAACAACAACAACAACAACAACAACAACAACAACAACAACAACAACAACAACAACAACAACAACAACAACAACAACAACAACAACAACAACAACAACAACAACAACAACAACAACAACAACAACAACAACAACAACAACAACAACAACAACAACAACAACAACAACAACAACAACAACAACAACAACAACAACAACAACAACAACAACAACAACAACAACAACAACAACAACAACAACAACAACAACAACAACAACAACAACAACAACAACAACAACAACAACAAAAAGAAACGTGCCAAGCAATGAACAGCTCCCTTTATTCCTCTTAACACATCACCCCCGCCAAGGGATACTCATCTTTCATGGGCCAAACAGGTGATGTTTAAAACCACAAAGGGAATTTAGGGACCCCTTGTGAAACGTAACTAGGTCCTCCAGTAGAGAGGTTGGAATAAGGGCCCTTTTTTCTTCAGTCTATTTTAGTAAGGGAACCCTCCCGACCAAATAAGTTGGTAAAAGGGCACTCTGAGGGACCTAGTATAGGGACCTGGTGAAGGTAACCTAAGCAAGTGCTAAGTCACTACCTGGAGTCTCCATGACCCTCTAAAAATGGGTCCATGACCCCTTTACTTTGGGTAATGACCCCATTGTTACAGGATCATGGAGACTCCAGGCAGACTTGTCCAACTGGCTACGTGATGCTTCCAGGCTGTTGAAACTGGAGGCTTTTCTGATACATCCGGAGACTCCAGGTACTTTTCAGCGCCCCCAGCATTTGTCAAGGCGCTCGCGGTCAACCACCGATTCGACGATGGGCAGCGGCAACTTCCCACGCACCGCCTCGCGAGAAGAACTTTTGCCGAAACCCGTGGAAAGAACCAAAAGGGTCTGGGTCAAAAATGGGGACACCTTTTTTTTAATACCCCCGCCCCCCATTACTTTGTTTTGACCCCCCAATTCCTTTTGCTTGACCCCCCATTCCTTTTTTTGGACCCCCCTCCATTATTTGTTACCCCCCCATTCCTTCAGTTTGACCCCCTCCCCCATTTTTGCAACCCCCGGGTTTCTATTTTTTGTCAAACACATAACCCCAACATGGGTTGCCCTGGAAAATGGACACATGGCTTCTAAAACCTGCGGTCTGGTGCTGTAACTTTGACCCATATCCGCGGGGTCGATCAATATTCCTTTCAGGACTCTGAGGTGTGGGAAATGCCAATTTTGTTTACCCTCCCTCCAACTAACATGGCAACTGACAGGGGCTCCCTCCAAAAGGAAACGAACTTCCAGGTACCTCCCCACAGGTGCCATGGTAGTTGGAGGGTAGTGGTTTTCCAGTCAATTGTTGTCCTGGGTAAAGCGGTCCAAACCTCCTGCGCAAAAATAGGTTGTAAGGAAGTCCCACGCCGACGCGCGAGCTTACGCGATCACTTACGCCGCTGCGATGCACCCAGAGGCTCCTGGCTTCGGCTTTCAATGGAAGACCCGACCCCTCAATAGACAACTCTTGGGGGTCTCAAATGCTCATATGGGTCTGTTTTAAAATAGACACTCCTCCTCACAAAAAGAAAAAATAAAGCGAGAACCCGTATGCCTGTGAATCCCATCGGCGAATCGAAAAACCTATAATAAGTAACTAGAGTGTTTCCTTTCGGCCTTAGGTGGTTCTCTGGTTTACCAACTGTACGACCATACTGGAGCCACTGGGATGGACGTAGGCACGGGCCTTTCTACTAGTCGGGCTCGCGAATGTCGAGGTTCGATAAGAGGTCCACCTCCTTTTGAAACAAAAGTACGTCACACACAAATACACAAATGGCTGTGGGTCAAAACCAATGGATCCCATTTTGGGGCCGGTCCACCACCCACTTTAGTCTATTTTGGTGGGGATTGGGATGTTCACTGGGGGTACGGGATTTTGACCCGTGGCCAAATAGCCGCAACTGATTTGACTTGACCGTAATTGGCACTGGCACGGCTTGCTTACCCCTTGACCATTGGGGCTGGTCATGTGCAAACTGGGGCGCCCCAATTGCCCAGCTTCCCAGATTTCTCGCCATGCCTTCCCCACCTCCATTCTGTCGAGGGATCCTTCTTGAAATTGGGGAGCCAACGGAATCAAGCCTATTGTCGGTTTCGTGCGGACACAAAAGAGGCTCTTCACCTCTCTTTTTCAGGCGGATTGAGGCCCAGCATTGTCACGTCCCAAGCTGAATTGTGCGATATTTCCGTGCTCTTCGTGAAGATGGCGAGAATATGAGCGAAGGCCAGTGTCCAAAGAGTCCGATCCACTGTTTGTGGGTGGAAAAGAGTCGAAGGGTCTGTTGCTCATATCCCAGTACAAGCATACACTCCATCATATCCATAGTTCAAAACCCCGCACCCCCAGTGAACATCCCAATCCCCTCTAAAATAGGTTCTAAAAAGGGTGGTGCACTTATCCCAAAATGGGATCCCATTGGTTTTGAACCATGGCCATGTCGGCAACATGTAGTTAGATCACCTGTTTGTCCTGAAAAAGATGGAACCCGGAACATCGTGCGAAGCAATGATCGACTAATGAACACCCCCTATTAATCAACCCCTGTTTATTAATATGGGGGTGTCCCTGGTTTTGTGGGGATTGTTCACTTTTGGAGCGGAACACCCCCCTATAAATAAACTGGGGGTTCATACAGGAATAACATTAATCGGCAATGATTGGGGACAAACACGCCTTGGTTTGTTGCTTGATAGGAAAGCCTGGCCTCGCCAAGTGTCCAAGAGAGCAAGTGCAACAGGGCAACCGGGAAGAACATGCAAGCTGCACTTGTCCCGACTGTAGATGGAGGGAATCATGCACCACAAAAGAAACCCTGGTTGATGTTTTGTTCTGCAAATACCAGCAAACATGGCTTGAACGTGGTGCGAAATGGATTTCGCGCATCAGTATCTCCACCAACCAAAAACGAGGAAACCTCCTTCAAGTAACTAAGTAAGGAACCCCGTGAGCTCGCTAGAGTATTTCCGCACATGCGTGCGGGGAGCGAACACTCCAAGTTTAGCCCTGCAAATAGCGGTTTTCTCTGGGTACTGATCACGAACTACCCGCAATGCAACCTGTGTATGGACGAAATTTGTTTCACCTAAAGCCTGGAATGATGATTCCCCAGTAAATACCAACAATGGTTTCAATTTTCATTCATAGTTTCATTGCGTGCTGCGACCGGATTTTGTCCCTACTAGCTACGGGGAACCCATTGCCCCACAAGACCCTCTGCACAGTTTGTTGGCAACACGACAACAAAAGCAGTCTGGGGTTGGTGTGGGTGCTTGGTTGCTGTTGACCCTCTGCAAGAAGTAACTTTATGTGGGTCCAACGGAAAATTCACAGTTTCAACCAAACAGCTAAAGTCCAAAGATCCAACCAAATACCCATAATTGCAATTGTAGGCGTGGAGGCCAACATGAACTGGTTACCCACTAAAGATTGCCTAAGTCCACTGGGCCAATCAAACCATGAATGCCCAGAGCGTTGCCATCGTGACGCCGCCAACGCAAGCTTGCTAAGTTGAAAGTTGCTTGCAAACATTGCTACAGCCTGGGTGGTCGGGATAGTTGGCGCTCACCCAAGCGACCCGGGTTTGAGTCCCTGCGGACATGTTCCTCATGGAGGATTTGGCATGCCTACCTTGTGCTAGAGCGGCGGGAACACCTCAAAGTCGCCACCCAACCCCAGCCCAGCCCACCTCACCCCCATGCGCCCTCCAAAAAAGGTGCACACACACACACACACACCATCCGCCCGCTTCCTAGCCTTCCAGATCTTCGGCACGTTGCCCATTCCCCCGGACGCCTCGTAGCACACGCCTCGTCCGTTCCGCGACGAGGCGCGGCGAAGGGGACGCCACGAAGAACCACCCTTCGGGGGAAGTCTCAGAGACCCAAAAGGCCGCCCAAAAACCAAACCCAACGGTGAGGGGAGGCTTGGGAGAGGGATTTTTTGACAAAGCAAAACAAGACAAAGCGGCATTGCCAAAAATAAACCATGACCGTCAACTGTAATCCAAGACTTGAGGTGCACTTCAAAACCGGCAAAAACTACAACTACCTTGGGCGATTTCAATTGGGAAGTTCTCGCTTTTTTGGTTTTGCTATATTCTATATCGTTCCTAAAGGTCACTTGTCTTGTGGGGTTATACTGAACCACCGAAGACACCAGAGAGTTTAGCCTCTGCCTCACATTGAACTCTGAAATGGCTGCGAGGCTTGTCTGGTGCAGCTGTTTCACAAGGGCTGTGGCGCCACATCTGTCACATCTGTCTGTCAGAGGCTCTGTCGGCGGGCGGGCTGGTTGTGGAGGTCGGATGTCACTTAGAATCTAACAAGCTTTTAAGGGTGGGGGAAATAACTATTTTGGACGCTGGTCATGTTCCAAGGGTGTAATCCTGGCTCCCCAGACATCACCCTACCAGAAAGCACACTTGCTTTCAAGCCCTGCAAAAGAAGATGAACTGGAGGTATTGTTTCCTTCAAACTCCCTCGAGGCCTTAGAACAACAGCCGCGTTGACCATCTTCATGCCACCAGCAGTGTGCAACGCACAATCATATTTCCTCTTCCACTGTATCAACCCCCAGCACTGGCCACGAGGGTCCACCTAGCGGTGTTTGGAACAGTTGGAGGGTTCTCAAAAGATGGTTTTCTTCAAAACAATGAAGGATGCTACTTTGCTTGCCAGGTTTCTTGCATGCCCCTTGGGCAAATGATCTCGCCAGGCTTGATGTGAATACCATGTTCTTTCCCGCTTCCGTTTCGTCTCCAGTATGAAGTGGGTCAGGGAGACACCTATTTATTGGGACCAGTTTGGGTTTCGCAGCCCGAAATGAGGACAACCGTTTTTTTTCACCGGGTCCTAGTCAACCCTTCGTGTTGATCATCGAGCGGCTCAAACCTTAACATCCGGAGCCTAGGCCAATGTCAGCAAGTGTCGTTCTTTGCTCCAGAATCTCCAGACTTCCTGTAAGAAAAAAGCGACCAGCATGTGCTCAAGAAGCCCAGTGGAAGTGTTCTTGTTAGGCCTTTCCCCTCCCTAAAAGCGCAAGAGGGGGGACGCACTTCACTGGTACTGAGGCTGAAAACTCCCCCCCCCCCGCTGGCATTGGAGCTGAGCTGGCGGGCCATCGTAGCGCGAGAAGATGAACCACTGCGAATGGAAGTTGTCAATGCCACAACTGTCCTGGGACGATCTGAAGATCTGAACTGGCCTGGGAGTCGGGAGTCAAGCTTCAAAATAGTAAGCAAGATTCATAGCCTGAACCCAGGATTCAATTGCTTTCTTGCAATCTGTTTTTGCACCTGGGCCAAACGCTCTCAACCCGCCTGAGGTTCAAAATGGAGGGATCGAGTTTTCCGGGGCCAGGTTCAAGGGCGAAGATGAACCATTTCGTATCAAAAAAATGCCACAGTTTCGGAGTTAACCATTTTCAGCGTGGAAACCCACCAAATGAAAGGTGCTTCTGAACCAGTTGGTGAATGTCTGAATCCTTGTAGCCGTGTGGGACGGTTGGTCTCCAAGTAGGGCTTGGACAAATCTCACAATGGGCTTCGCTTTACACTAATCCCAAAACGGATATAGTCAAAAAGACCACATTGAGGCAGAGTTTGGTCTCACCCGATCTCAAGTGAATTGCCAACTTGGGGCGGGGGGGCGGGGGGGCGGGAGGGGGGAGGGGCGGGGCGTTAGAATCCATGGGAGTTTTGGTCAACATCTGTAGACTGCGGTCGGCACGCCAGAACACCTGAATCCAAGTCCAAGTGGGGCCGGTCAACAAAACCCCCGCTTTTGCCCGGGTTTGGGCAGCATTTCAGGAAACTTTATGGCCAACTTGAGGCTCCGGATGTGACAAGGGGGCTCACAGATGTTTGCATGATGTGACCGCTCAATTCCCAACCCTAATTGAACATAATCGGGCTCGGACGTGGCAATACATTGTTTGCCATTTGGCTGTGGCTCAGAAAACCGGAATTCCAAAATGGAACCCTGGTAAGTGGAAACATGGACCAAAACCCGCGTAACCTCTCCTCTTTAATTTTGAGCCAGAGCCATTTACCAAGGAAAACCATAGCAACTGCCTCAACGGGCCCCCCTTCCCATCGGGCGTGAAAACCATGTGGGTGATGTGGCTCAGGTTTTCCCGTCTGTCTTAACATGTTGTTTGGTGGCGGAGCTGTCACGCAACTTAAGATGTATGTGTCAACAGGGGTCCTTACATTATACACCTGAACATTGCCTTGTAAATGGTGGTGTCCCTTTATTTTGGTGGAAAAAACCATGTTTCAAATGGGCAACATGTATCTTTTAAGGAGCCCTGGAGTCAAACAAGGACCATGTACAAGCAGTGTCTGTTTAGACACAAAGCCATCGACGTGTTGTTCCACCAGCCTAACAAGCAGTGCGGAGACAAGGCCGACTCAAATATTCACTAAATCATGGAATGGCCAAAATGGCCCACCAATGCGCAGTTGGTGAAGAATATCTTCTTAGTTGGTAAGTCACATCTTCTCAAGTGGTCGCTCAAACTGGGTTGCTCACACCCCGATAAATTCCCCACCCCAAACGGAATCTGTTCCAAAGCCATTCTTGCTTTCAAGGCAAATATTGATTGCTTGACTCTCGGGAACCCTAAGGCTGTTGACAAGCACCAAACGGGGGATTTGCAGGAAACCTAGGTTGTGCTTCCTTTTAAACATGGATAGATGTCGATCCCCATCCCTTGACACCGATACATCGGGCAACAACCAAAAACCTGTCATTCTATTGCATGCTATCTGGTCTGTTTTGGTTGGTTCATGTGCGGTATTTGGGCAATGTGGTGTTTCCCTCTAAACCATGTCACATGCGTCTCGTCTCGAGCGGCTTGAAGCCGAAAAGAACTCCAAGCTTCGTCCCCGATCTTCTCGTAGTAGCAGCAGATGTCGCCTTTGAAGCGGCAAATGTACTCCCCGTTGACACGCTCCTGGCAAAGTTCTCGAGCATGGGCTCGGGCTTTTGCCGGAGGCTTTTGCTACGTACTTTGGACGACTCAGATGCCCAGTGGCCATGGGAGAAAAAGGGCATCCTTTTGTAGTTGGGTGACATTTTTAAGGGGAGCCCTTCTCAAAAAAAAGCAGGAAAAACAGAGGCGGAATCCACTGATTGCAAAATCCATTTTGCAGGGATGGATGAAACCCTATGGATACTGGTTGACAAACCACCTTTTTGCCATCTGGTGCGGGGAGTTGGTCCCACAGTACGGAGTCAAACTGCCCATGGGTTCGGGGCAAAGGGCCGGTTTCAAAGCCCCGCAAATGGCGATGCTTCTGTTTCTTGTTATTTCAGCCTCGAGGGCAGAAAGCTGGCTACTGCCAGAGCTTGGTTGACTGACTGACGTTGGAAGGGGATCAAACATTGTTGTCATTTTTCCTTAGCAATTAAGTGGTTGGATTTCAATCACTAAACCACAAGAAGCAAAAATGTAACATGTTTCCCACCCACAACCATGAAAAGGGCACCAAGGGAAGGCGAACTTTTCGATTTTCGCCCCGGAGTGGCTCAGCCTTTGGCGGCTCGGATCAAATCTCTCGACCCTGTTTCCAGGCAAGCCACTTCTCTAGGGGACCCTTCCATTTCCATTCTTTCCAGGGATCCGAATCGTCAAAATCCGGCTGATTGGACGCGGATACGCGGATGGGTCCGGAAATCTTTCCGGGGTCCCTGATTTATTCGACTCAAAATCCGGGTCCCGATGTCCAAAAATCCCTCTGAGCTCCCCTTGAAACCAAACCACCCCAAAAAAGAAGAGAGCACCAAGTCACATTTGGAACCATGCCAAACTTACTTGCCCTGAAAATCTGAGGTGATCCTTCGGACGACGAATGGGAACCCCGGCGCCAACACAAGCTCGGCTCGCTGAGCCAATGTTCGGGGCTGATTCTAGAACCGAGTCAGAATCCGGCCACCCAAACCATCGGGAACCAAAAGACGGACACTACAACTAGGTCCTTCTGTCGGGGAACTCCCAAAAAGAATCGGTAAAGGGGCACTAAACAACTTGCTGTTTTGTCTTGAGTCTTTCTTGTTGACTGTACCCTCTGAAGGCTCGGACCAAGCGAAAAAAGAAAAGAGCACCCACTTGGCTTGGCTGGAATTAGGACCCCAGCAAAAAAAAAACATTTGTTGCCTGGTGAGTGGTAAACAAAGGGAACCCCCAAAAATCAAAAAATACTAATTATGAGGAGGTTGGAGACTTGGCACAGGCACTGCCAGCTGCTCCAGGGCAAGGTCACAACAAGCCACCCATCTCGGGTAGCGCAATTGGAGGGGTGCAAGCATAGGTGTCCTTTGATTCAACCACCAGGTAAACCAGGAATCGCCATCTATTTTTCGACCAAACCTACGCATCCAAATTTAAGTTGATCCACGGTTACTATGAGCCACACTAGTGCTCGGCGGCCAGGCCCAACTGGAAACGCTGAAAGTGCCGCATGCCCAGATGCCCAGTGGCCATGGGGAAAAAGGATCGGCGGAATCCACTGGTGGCTGGGCATATTAGCTGGCAAGGCCGTGGGTTCAAAAGCCAAGCCTGGGTCCAGTAGAGAGGTTAGCATAAGGGTACCGTTTCTTTGTTCTGTTGTCTATTTGAGTAGGGGGTTCACCCTCCCAACCAAAAAAGTCGGGTAAAAGAAGGGCACTACCCTCCATTTGCTTAAGTCCCCTGGGAAAAATGAAAAAACAAATTCAGTAGTGAAATCGACTCCCTTTCAAACCAACAGGTGAAAATCAACGAAAATCTTGAGCAAAATGGAAGCTACTGGACCTGGTCTCGCCTCCCCAGCGCCGCGGATGACCAGGTCGGCCCCCTCCTGCGGTTTTCGTTTTCGCCGGAAGGCCTCGAAACCTTCGCTCGGGGAATCTTTGGAGTTGGTACCCTCCCACCGACTAACATGGAAGTGCAAAACGGCCCTTTCCAAAAGGAAGGTAGTCTTTCTGCAGGGGTAACTGTGCACTTCCATGTTAGCTGGTGGGACCCCGTTGGTGGTCTGAAAGGAAAACCAACCTGAACACCGTGAATTTGATTCTTTCAACGGGGTCCAACCTGAAAGACAGACCTCTTTTTCATCGTCAAGCTCTAGATGCTTTCAAACACTCAAGTCTCCGGGCTCAGGCCTCAGCGAAGGAACAACCCGTATCCACGCTTGCACGGCAGTGTGGAGCATCAGCTTCGGTAAAAGGCAAACGGGAAGGGCCTAGGCGCATTCTCCATTCCATGATACTGTGGATGGTTGCGAAATCCATTTCGCACTGCCTAAGAAACCCTGGTGTCTGATGTGTCCCCTGCAAATACCAACAAGCGATGGTTTCAACCGTGGATTGAAAGTGGTGCAGGATGCCGTCCATCCACTGCGCCGCAAAACATGTCCCAGACTTCAGTGTCAGGAGTTACACCCGTGTGTCGTCATTTTGATGTTTGGGGTTGGCAACCTCCTCCCACTGCGGTGGCTTGCCCGGATCTGTTGTAGCACCCCTAAAGTGGCGGGGGAGTCGGGTGGATCTGCATCCAACCCAGTGGATCTTGTCTAGCACAGGTACCCTTCGCTCCATTGGGCCTCGCAGGTTCATGCCGGCCTTGCGGAACCCCTCGTGCCAAACAAAGACTTTGTAGTGCCAAAAACAACCAAAGAAGAAAAAAATGGTGGACAAAACAAAAACAAATCAGGTGAGTTCTTTCTCCCTCCAAAAAACGGCGACCCCCCCCAAAACAAAAACCTAGCAACTCACCGGCCGAGCTTATCTTTTCAGGAGCCCGAGGACAGGAACCGTGGATGGCGCCTCGCAGTGGCGCCGACAGGGGGAATCTACCATAGGCTTGCTGGAGGGGAAAAACATCCAGTGATAGATTCCCTTTAACACCAACACCGTAAATTAAAACATGTCCTTATAAGCAAATGGAAGTTGTGGGGTGGGCTCATTTGGGTCGCCTGGAATCGTCAAATCCAGCCTCATCCTTGTCTCGGCCCTGGCGTGCTCGCTCCGTTGCTCGCTCAATTGCTCGCTCCGTTGCTTCTTTTTGCTCCGGCACCCAGGCGTTCAACCCTGGAGGGTTTTCACTTGGCCATGGGTCAAAACCCAAAACCCCGTACCCCCAGTGAACATCAACCAATCCAACCACTAAAATAGGTGCTAAATGAGTGGTGAATTCACCTACCAACCAAAATGGTACCAACTCAAGCAACTGAGTGTAAACGCTTGGCCAAACAACCTCCTTTGGTGTGCACTCTGGTGACCTTTCGGGTCCGGCTGCTTCAAAAGAAGCATGGCAAGGATTCCCCGCTTTCGACTTCCTCTTCCTTTCGGCCACCTTTCGGCGCCCGAAACGAAAGGTGCCTTCTCCATACCCAGGTTGTGAGGTGAAAGCTGTTCATGCAACGCACCCCTAAGAAGTTGGGTTTATCTCAATGATTCTCCTGGCTGCCAGACAACATGGGCCATTCTTTGCTTGAGCCATCTGGCTTTCCAAGAAAAACATTGACTGCGTGGCTTTCCAAGAAACATGTCCTGCGACAGATCCGCACGTGTTACTATAGCGCACCAACAAGAATTCCTAACCTCAAGGAAGGGAACTACACCCTGGGGCGTGCAACGCTGACCCCTGGGCACTGAGCTTGCACTGAGCTTGCAAATATCTCAACCTCAACAACCCCTAAACATGGTAGTCTGACATGCGCAAGCCTGAACCCGTACCTAAACCTCGGCTGCTGAAACTGAGTGGGGCCAAATCCTCCTCAATAATTTTCGCCCAAACTACGACGGGGGGGGGGGGGGAGGGAAATTCTTTGAGCCCAAAATGGATCTTTGTCAACAGTCGAACCAAACGGAGCCCCTTATTCGAGATATCGGGTCAAAGACATGTCCAATGAGTCATGGCAATGGAAAGGTCCTCCTTGAAATTCTCGGCCCATGGCGGTTTGGTTCTTGGCATTCTTGGGCTATTCTTGGGCTCCGAAAGCTTGCCTAGTGGACTTCCATGAGATGGGCATCCGATATTTTTGGGTTGTTTGACTTTAAAGGAACACCCTTCCCAAAAAGAAGTGGACACAAAGGGCGCACTGGGCAACTGGGTCTGAATCAGTCATTAGGAAGCCAGCCGGGATTATTTTGAAGCAAGCGCCACAGACTGCCACAGACGCAAAAGCCGCCCGCCTGCTCTTCCATCATTTTCTCCCCGAAGTCCGTCCTTTCCAGAGTGAGCTTCGGTCTCCCTGATGCAACTATCTGGGTGGTTCTCCCACGTCTAGGAATAGTGGTTTGGGGGTAGTGGGAACCATTGGAAAGGGAAACCGCCAGGTGCCAAACATAATGTTAAGGGCACCAACTCAAAACATGTTTTATATTTATATATGTTCGATGGACCCTGTGCGACAGTTCGTCTCACCAATGTCTGGGGGGGACCCTTCTAGTGGTCCAGCTGGACCAAACAAAAAACAACATCTGTGCGCCAGAGTTCTGGAACACCACAGGCACTAGGACGGTCGAAAAGAGAGACTGATCTACACAAATTGCTAGGTGAAAGAGACTCAACACAAAACTATTTCACCTAGCAGCTTGTGTAGATCAGTCTTGTTGCTTTCTTTTTCCGACCGGGATGTCCTGGCAAATTATGTTCGTGACAAGCTTTTCAGCAAAAAAATAATCCGTGACCCTCTCTTCAGCCATAGGAAAACGTCGGGGGGTCACTGAAGCGACAGCCAGATTGCGATCGATCGATCGGACCATGGCCTGATGGTCCCCAGCCAACGGCCCAGCATGGCCAAAGCGCTCCGGCCATCCTCGGCAACCGCGGAACAAAAACCACCGCGTGGCCCGAAAAGTCGAGAAGGCAAGCCTTTTTATTTTTGAGGTTGGAAGGGGAGCATTTTTCTCGACTTTTTGCAGTGAAGTGGTTAGAGTTCAACCACTAAACCGTAGTAAGCAAAAATGTAAAATGTGTCCCAACAACAACCATGTTTGGGATACGAAAAAGGACTAGCGGTGTGGTGTGTGGGAAACAAGTTGCCCGTGCCCTGTTGCTTTGCTGGGATCAACGGTTGCTATCCAGCACGTGTTGACCACGTTGAGGGGCTAAAACCAAGTGATCAAACATACTCAAAGGGAAGAAGCGCAGCAAACCAGGAAATCGGGACCAACTAATTATTAACGGGGAAATGACAAACACGCGGGCAATTGAATTGGGACCCACATGCAACCTTTGAACAAAACTCAGGGCTCGGGGCCTCATGGGGATACACCACGCCTTGCTCAGCCCCTGAAATCGTCACCCGCCAGGATCTGAAGTTGACAACTTTTGGGCCGAAAAGGGTTGGCCACCGCCACATCCACCCCCCGGGAAGGGAAACACTGCCCGCAAGGCGCGCTACATAGTTGTCCTGCGCTACCCGCATGCCGGACACATGTGTGTGAAGGGCTGATCAACTCCTTGGGCATGCCCCCCCTTCCATACACTATGAAGGGGCTGGGATTGCTTAACTTAGAGGGGCACACCCGGTCTCATGCTCGTCGACGAAAAGGCCAAAAGCTCCAGCTGTGCTGCGGGCGAGTCCTTCAAGTTCATCATGCCAACATGGAAATGCCCAGGCCAGAGCCAGCTCCAATGCGCTTGATGCAAGAGCTTCATCCTTGCACAACGGTTCTCAGTTCTAGAACTTAAGTCGGTTTAGGATAATGTTCGCTTCACAACCCTTGGTAGCAAACAACTTTGCTTTTGCCGCCCCCCACCATGAACAAAGAAACAGAACATCACCGAATCAACCCAAAAAGCAAAAAAAACTTGATCCAAGAGCCGGTGAAGCTCCAAAAAACAAGTCTATGTACATGTGATTCGTCCAGGGCGTATATTTTGAATGGGCGCCTTGACGACTCCCGAGGCCGCGGCAAACTGCAGGGCAGCCCTGAGCCGTGGCCAGGCCGCCTCACACGCTCACGGCTGGAGTCAGCGAGAGTTGGAGAAATCGGATGCCCAGAGGCTCCCCGATGCGCTCCCCGATCCAGCGAGAAACACACTTTTGGCTGTGGCTCAAAATTAAACTGCATGGGGTTACGCGGGCTTTGGTCCATGTGTCCACTTACCAAGATTCCATTTTGGTACCGGCTTTTTGAGAAACACACATTTCTTCGGCACACTGCTCTGATATGCACACAAGGCTAGCACATCCAGACGAACTGGCTGGTCAAAATTATAACAAACTAGGGGGCCGCAGGTTTTCGCAATTCCATTTACCAGGGACAACCCATTTTGGGCTTATGTTTAACCCACAGATGCCTCTCGGCGTTTTTTTGGTCGGAGTTCTGCTGTGGGGCTTCCAAAGCTCAGAGGCACGATTTCCATAGGACAAACAATGGGCATCCTTGGTTGACTTTAAAAAGGCTTTCCCAAAAAACAGTTGAAAGAAGGGCGGAATCCACTGGGCTGGGCAAGTGGGATGGTGTTGGTCTAAACTTGGGACCCGTTTGGGACCTGGTGCCGCCGGTACGTGCTGGATACCTTGTACAGGGGATACCCTTTTAAAGGGCCCCTTACCTTCTGACAAAAACCTTGAAATGTACAACGACTCCAATAAATAAATGATGTCACATACTCGCTTCCTAAGTGGATGGGCCAAGTAGATGTCTGAACTTGTGAACTAAACCACGGACATGGTCCAAACCCAAAAAGCTTAAAGTCCTGGAACTCGGGGAGTGGGGGAGTAGCAAACCTGTACAACTAGCGGGGTGGGTCCCCAAAATGGTGCAAACCCAAATCTAGGTCCTCCAGTAGAGAGGTACCCGTTTTTCTGTCGTCTATTTTAGTAGGGGAACCCTCACCCTCCCCAAAAAAAATGTAAAAGGGTAAAAGGGCACTACTGGGGGACCTAGCACATGGAAATGGTCCAAATGGTTCAGGAGTGAATTGAAGGAGCAATTTCTGCTGATCAAGCAGGCGTTTGTGAATCGGTTCAACAGCAACCAGTACCCTGGAATCACGGTGAAAAGGAGATCGATGGGAAGGTGGTTACCGAATCTCTGACCTGTGAGGGAATCTTGGATGCACTGGGAAGCCTGACAGAGGGCCCCTTGAAGAAATTGATCTTCCAGGTACTGTTTCGAAGGAAACCACAAGGAGTCACCAATTTGGAGGGGGGGGGAGAGAATTTCATTGGTGCGTCTTGATTTTCAACTGAAAGCTTGGGGGTATGTGCCCAGATAGGCTCCATTTCATTTGGAACGGCTCCCACCTGGGCGTAATTCAGGCTACGAATACCCTTTTAAGCTGTTCTGAGAGGAAAAACAATGACACAAAAGTAGCTGACATAACTAATTGCAGACTCCAGACTCTGGGCCTTAGTCCTTTGATGCCGATGTGCTCGCGCTAAGACGGCTGAGGGCCACGCGGGGTGCACTCTCGTTTGGGGTCACAAAGGTCAAAGAAACTTACCCAAGATTCCCTCCCATCAATTAACAAATCAGGGGGTCCCTTCGAAGGAAAACGGTCCAAACCAGGACCCCGAAACGTCATTTTCCACATGAATTGGTGGAAGGGTACCGTCCCTTCCTCCCTCTAACAAAGAATCCCCCACATCTTGGTGGACGTTGGAAGAAGAGCAACAAATCAATTTTAGCAGCCAAGTGGTTGGATTTCAACCACTCAGCCACAACAAGCAATGTAACATGTGTCCCAACAGCCATGAGATCCAAACCGCCTCCCAAACCGCCTCCCACGCCTCCCCCCTGTCGCCTGCAGCTGGCGCAGCGTCTGCTCCGAGAGCACCGGGCGCCCGCCCTCGTTGAGGCCCTCCGAGCTGCAGGAGGGGTGCCTCCAGAGGCTGGAAGCTTCCAGGGGGGCTTTCTTTTAAGGGAAACCGAACAAAGAAAAAAAAAGAGCACCACTTTGTGGGTCGGGTAACTTTTTTTGCGTTTCTCCCGGAGCCGCCCGGAGGTGGTGAAACTGTTTCGGAGTTGGTACCCCCTTATTTTTATTTATTTATTTTTTTGGGGGGGGGGTTGAAGACGGAAAAAAAAGCAAGCAAGCACCACTGTTGCAGGTTTTGGGGAAGTTTTGCGGGAGGCTTTTTTTAAATATAAATTTAAGGGAAACCGAAGAAATAAACACAACATCATCGCTTTGTGGGTCGGATCCCTAAAGAACGACACACCCATTTGGGTTGAGGGTACTCCTGAAATGGGCGCAGGGAAACCATCGATTTCAGGGTCTGCGGAAAAATGACACATGCCCAAATCAACCCCCAGGTTGGGTGCTTGTTTGCAAGCGAGTCTCAAAAGGACGATCAAGGAGTTGAGCTAATTAGTTTACCTGATCACCTTGGTCTTTGGCGGAAATGATCCCCGTCAGTTCCTGCTTGATGGTAAAAGCATCCTTTCCCATGAATTTTCACCTTCCCAGAGGCTCCTGGGCCTTTCAAGATGGAAGACCCGACCGCTCCATTAGACGCGGAGGTGTTTGGGGGTCTCAAAACCTGGCTGTTTCTGGGCCCTATATTGATCGGAGCGTCTGGGTTACCAACACAGCAAGTATGGAAATGGAGTGGGAAAGCTGAGCAACTGGCTGATCTCTGAAAATGACACAACTCAAGTTAAACAACTGGAGGTCAACAACGACATGTAAACCCACTACGTGGACAAAAGATATGGTCAAATCACGCGCCATACTCTGAATGGTTGGTTGATCCATTGCCAGCGGAGCGAGAAAAGGGACAACCTACTAGTGAACCCTTTCAACACAAAGCAAACGCCTGACAAGCATATCTTGTGCACCCAACAAGTAACATGTTGCATTCTGGTAACCATTCCCGACAAAAACACAACATCAACCTTCGCGGTTGGTTGATCTCCTGCTAAAGTCAATTGTAGTGAGGTACCTTCCATGTGCAGTGGACATGCAATGCACACACACGCATATATATATATATACACATCTATGATACATGTGTTGTGTTTAATGTTCAATGGGAAAAAAAGGCGTCGGAGTCCATTGTGCATTTGTTCTATCAATGAAGGTGACTTTCGGTCAACCTGAGCAACCAACACAGGTTGCTGAATTGGGAGGTGTGTGACGGAGTTTTTGGGCTGGAGTTGTCCCCTTGCCGAATCTTTGTCGTTGGAACAGTTTGTCATGCCTCCATGAGACAACCTGCATCAGCAAATGTCAAGCTCCGCGATGTGAGCGCCATAGCAATGTGGAAGGGTATCCCTTTTCAAATGAACAGTCACAACCTGGCATTCAAGGAGTCTCCCCATATCCGCCGACCCCGCCTAGGAGCGTGCTCTGGCGGGGCGGCGCCTGGGATACCGAAGGTCTCATCGAAGGGCCGCCGAAAGTCTCATCGCGTGCGTGCCTGCGCCTCTCGCTCCACCGTCGCTAGTCTTCGTAACGGGTTCCGAAACTGCGCGTCCGGCACCCTCCGCGCGCGCCTTTTCGCTCCATTTGTGGTACTTTTGGGCACGCCCTGCCACTGCGCTTGAACGTTTCGGGGGGCGCGGGGGGCGCGCCTCTGCGTGACTGCGGCCCGGCCGTGCCTGGGCTGGGCTTGGCCCTGTCGCCCCCGGGCCCCTCCTAGTCTTCGTAACGGGTTCCGAAACTGCCGTTCCGGCACCCTCCGCACACGCCTTTTCGCTCCATTTTTGGTACTTTTGGGCACGCCCTGCCACTGCGCTTGGGCGTTTCGGGGGGCGCGGGGGGCGCGGGGGGCGCGGTGGTGACTGGGTCTGGCCCTGTCGCTCCCGGGCCCCTCCTAGTCTTCCTAACGGGTTCCGAAACTGCCGTTCCGGCACCCTCCGCACACGCCTTTTCGCTCCATTTTTGGTACTTTTGGGCACGCCCTGCCACTGCGCTTGGGCGTTTCGGGGGGCGCGGGGGGCGCGGGGGGCGCGCCTCTGCGTGACTGCGGCCCGGCCGTGCCTGGGCTGGGTTTGGCCCTGTCGCTCCCGGGCCCCTCCTAGTCTTCCTATCGGGTTCCGAAACTGCCGTTCCGGCTCCCTCCGCACACGCCTTTTCGCTCCATTTTTGGTACTTTTGGGCACGCCCTGCCACTGCGCTTGGGCGTTTCGGGGGGCGCGGGGGGGCCTCGGCTCCAGGCGGCCCGGCCGTGCCTTGGGTTTGGCCCTGTCGCTCCCGGGCCCCTCCTAGTCTTCCTAACGGGTTCCGAAACTGCCGTTCCGCCACCCTCCGCACACGCCTTTTCGCTCCATTTTTGGTACTTTTGGGCACGCCCTGCCACTGCGCTTGGGCGTTTTGGGGGGCGCGGGGGCGCGCCTCTGCGTGACTGCGGCCCGGCCGTGCCTGGGCTGGGTTTGGCCCTGTCGCTCCCGGGCCCCTCCTAGTCTTCCTAACGGGTTCCGAAACTGCCGTTCCGCCACCCTCCGCACACGCCTTTTCGCTCCATTTTTGGTACTTTTGGGCACGCCCTGCCACTGCGCTTGGGCGTTTTGGGGGGCGCGGGGGGCGCGCCTCTGCGTGACTGCGGCCCGGCCGTGCCTGGGCTGGGTTTGACCTGGTTGACTTCTTATGGAAGCTAATGACTTGACATGTTGACTCAAATTCTGCTTTCTCCGCCGGCGCCTCCTGGGTGCCTAGCGGGCCTTTTGCGTCGAGATGCTGTTGCAAGCCAGTCTTTGGACTGCGCTGTATGTGCAAAAACACGCCTCGCGAACCTGCCTGCGCAGGAACTGGTGGGCTTTTTTCTCTGCGCTCTATGCGATCCGACCCCCGCCATGGCGCGGGACGAGTGCCGCTGCAACACATGGACGCTAACTGCCCGCAAAAAAAAACAGGGTCGGCGGCACCCGGGCGTAGCCCGTTCTATAACGTATCAACCATGGCACCTATTGTTTGACTAGGACTTGCCCTTCCGAATCTTCATCGGTGTTGACTTTCGGCTCACAGTCGCTGTCGAAAAGCACAGCGAAGACCTTCAGTGAGTTCCATTTGAAGTGAGAGGCAAGGCGCCCTTGGCTCAAAGGAACCCACCCAAACAAACGAACCGAGTGCTGCAGAACTGGGAGTTCAAATTGAGAGCCCCCAAGAACCATCGGAGGTGTCGCCGTGGTTTTTTGGGGAAAAATCATCCCGAGATACGAGGTGAGCCAGAAGCCCCATGGAGGAGTCGTTGAAGCAGTTGGTTTCTGGGGGGGCTGTCACTCAATGCACCCAAGAACTGGTATATCAAGATGTCAGGAATTCCTCTGACCACCCCCCACCCCCCAAAGACTGCTCTCAACGGATCGAAACGGCGAATCATACCAAATGTGGCCTCAACAGTTCAGGGTAGTGTCTTTAAGGGGGTGTAGGGTCTGTGAGGGAATCAACTGGCCTGCTGCATTTGCCACTAGTCACAACCCAAGGACCTTGATTACTGCGATCACCTTCTATCTGCTCGGCTGCCAGAGGCCCACATTTGCCAAAAGCTCCAATCTGGTCGTTCACTCTGGTGAACAGACGGACCAGAGTCCATCCTCCACTTTTTCACAGGAGTATTCGGGGCTGTACCCCTCAATCAATCCTCATTTGCAAAGCTTTCGAAGAACCGGGTCAGTATACTGTATATCTTATGTCCCCTTCAAACACCCCAAAGTGGAACTCGATTAGAATTGACAGCCCAACAGAGAAGCCATCAACACCTCCACTTCAGGGCTTATAGACGTGCCCCATCAGGCGGCTTCCGGGTTCAGCTCCCTAAACAAAACACAAGAGGGCTGCTCAGAATAGCACGAGGGTGGCAATGTGCCAGCCCCCGTAGAATCGAAGAAAAGCCTTGATAATACATTATATATATATATCATCCTTGCGCGGTGGATTCTTGCAACTAAGTCGGCTGTTGCTTTTACCTAATTTTGTTTTCTTTCGAAGCTTGGTCTTGGTCACATACTGTAGGGCCGTGCCAATGACATCCACTGAGTTGTTTTGGCAGCTAGGAACGGCCCAAGCCGAGAGTAGCTCCCCCTCCTGTCTTCCCGTCTCGGGCGCCCGACTCGGCACGACTCACAGAGAGAAGGAAGGCCAACGTGTTTTGCACCTGGCAAACCAAAAATCGCCGGCGTCCTTTTTGGGCTCTTTAACATGGTGGAACCCTTCATCCCACGGCTCTGAATCCTACTGTACTAAGTAGTGGTGGTTCGCTGCTACAAGGGAGAACGCTACCCTCTGGCATGAGGATTAAGAATTTCGCTGTGAACACCCCAGCCTTTTGAGCTTTCGTTTACTCAGTGGCTGCGATCGGCAAGCCTAGCTAACCAAGGAAAGTCATCAGAACTAAAATCTACTGTGGCTGCACAAAATCCACTTCGCACTGGCTGGGGCTGGGCTGGATGACACCCGATTTGAATACTGGGAAAAACCGTCTACCACCAGGTCGACTCTTTGTTACCCATAGTACCTGGAGCCACTGGGCTATCCTTTTTCCCAGTGACCCTGGAAAGCGGTAGAGCGCATTCCTGACCTTATCGCCCGGACAGAGTGTGGTACATGGTTGCGTGAGCCACACATCGGTTGATTTCATGGAGCCAGACTCTTCTTGGGACGCGACGAAAACTGAACCAAACTCAGATCCATAGGCTCCATCGAGTGACTCGTGCATAAGCCCAATAGGCAAGCTGCCCGTGTCCGGTCCACAGGCCGTGAACTTTAAAAGTACAACAGAATCAAAGGGAAAAGCTTGGAGAACAATTCGTATTGAGGCCCTGTGAAGGGGTCAACAAGCCATTCACCCCTTTCCGCACTTGGGTTCTCATTCCGAGAAAGGAACGGACGAATAGGCAACAGGGACGCCGGGTCTCTTGTGATTGTCTGGCCCCTCTGTTGTTTGGGCCCATGAAGCCAAGATATGCCCAGCATCAAAGTCCTCAAGTGGAACTGATGGACAAAATCTGCACCAGTTGGTAACAGGGATCCTTACATTATACACCTGAACATTGCCTTGTAAATGGTGGTTTCCCTTTATTTTGGTGGAAAGCCATGTTTCAATTGGGCAAAATGTATCTTTCAAGGAGCCCTGGGTGTGGCAAGGTTTATTGCAATTCAAATCAGGTCGAGACCCCCTAACTGGTGCGAAGTGGCTGTCATCCATCCGTTGACTAGGTTCGAGGGAAGTGATGTCTTCTCGCTGCCCTTGAAAAGTTGAGCAATTGTCCGGTGGTGTCCGCTGGAACTGGATGGTTCCTTTTGGTTTCCTCTCAAACCAGAAGAAAATGGTACCAACTGCTTTTTGAGTCGGTGCCCCAATTTTTTGGGGGTTTCAAAGAAGAAAGACCCAACACAGGCCTACCCTTACGCCCATTTTGGGTGCTCCAACCTCAAACGGGAAGCCCTCCGTTCGAGTCTCCGGGCACGGCAGCAGAGCTGCAGCACCGAGAGGATCAGCGTGGTGGTGGTGGCGTGGGGGTCCTGGCGTGGAACGCGCCGGCGGATGAGAACGCGCGGGCGTCCGACGGCCGGGGCACAGAGATTCTCAGCCTGTGCGCTGTGGCAACATGGCGCTGGGGGGACAATATCGCCCATGCATCCCCATGCAAAATGCACACGGGACCCACAAAGAAACATCAAGCCCATTGAAAGGGGGGGTTCGGGGGCGCAAGGGCGCCCCATCCAAATCCACAACCGCCTGGCCTGCCGAAAGTCCATTTCTTGCATAAGTCACTATAGTCCATTGGGAACTTCTGCCTTTCAAATTTGACTACCCATCCCCTGATGCGGTTTGTTTTGGGGCAACCAAACATTCACAGCCACACCCTGACTTCATTACTGGAGCTGACTAGCGGCGTTTGCCCCACGCCGCTATCTTCCTGCCAGTGAAAAGGGAGAACCAAGAAAACCAACAGTGCGCAAGGGGGAAAAATGGTTCTGGGTCAAACTTAAACTACCAGGATATGGACCGCAGGTTTTAGTCCGTGTTTGCATTTACCAGCGCAACCCATTTAAAGTACCGACTCTTGCCCCACAGCCAAATGGTGTCGCCAAAGGGCCTGGCAATCTTTGGCGCGCCTCGCCAACCCCTTGCCCCAATCGGATTGATCTCACTCGTTTGCAACCGGCGGCCGGTCCCCCAAACAAGCCGCACCCAAACGGAAAGCTGCCTGCCTGGGTGTCCAGTCGCAATGCCTGGCGTCGCATGTTCAGAGGGAAACCAAGTGCAAACATGCAGTTTGGTGGCTCAAGTGAAAACCATGCCCTACTGTACTGGCTGTGGCCTGTACTTTCAAGAGTGGGAAGATCCTGCCCCCAACTCAAAAGGCGTGAAGTCCATACATTGAGACATACAAAACATCATACGTCCAGGGATCGGCGTGGTCCTCTTGCTGGGGAGAAGTTTGAAGCGATTCTGTTGGCACAATCGCCCTCCAAAACCTAATTGTCCGCTGGGAAGAGGACACCTGCACACTTTTGAGCAAAAGCATCCACCCTCTGATCGCCTCTCTCTCTCTCTCTCTCTCTAAAAACAAGCAAGACACACCCTCTGCTTGCTTTCACTAAAAAAATGAAGCGAGCATCTACACTCTGATTGCCTTCTCTCTCACACAAAAAAAAAAACGCAAGAGCCTTCACCTGAACCAAAAAAGAAAAAAATCACAACGCTGGAGCCGTCCCACCCGAAAAAAAACCGGAGAAAACAACCACGAACAGCCAGCACGACTTGGATGGCTCAGCCTGCTCGAGGAGCTGCAGCACTGCATCGATGGTGGCCTCCGGCGATCGCGCCAGCCTGCCATCGATTGGGGCGCCGTCGGACGTCTGCCCGTTTTCCGATCCCCGACAGTTTTTGACGTGTGGGTCCAATGGAACCCAAGCCTTTCACTTTTGGTGGGTATATGGAACCCCCCCACTAAACACTCAAAACCTAGGCGAAAAGCTCCACTTTTAGTGGGTTAAATACGGAAACCCCGCACTAAACACTAAAAACCTAAAAGCCTAAAGGGGATGGCTGGGAACCGCCAAGTGAAGTTTAAGGATCACACACCCAGTGCTCAGAGAAACCATCATAGAAAAGGCAAAGGAAAATAGACAATAGGATCATGTAAAAAGTAGAGGTGGAAAAAAACTGGTTACCTACAGTGGTCATTGGAAGCACTGGGATAACTATAACTTCCGAGAAGAAAAACAAACTTCCGGTGGGTTCGAAAGTGGCTTCCAGAAAAAGCTTAGACAGTCCCACGGACTTTCCACCCTTGAGAACGTGGACATGGAGGTTCACCTTCGGACGTTGGGAGCCTTGACCCAAAACGGTCGCCAACGAACATGTGACAAGCTCAAGAAGTCAATTCACTTTTAGTTGCAGGCGAGTTTGTTTGGGGAAAAATGGGAAAACAAATATTATGGGTTGAAAATCTCAAGGGTTCCTCGAGGGGAGGCCAGAAGGAAAACAGGGCAGCCATTTGCTGGCTGGCCCCAGCTCCGAACCGACAAGAAATACAGTCTAAAGACTCCATTTGGTCTAGACCCCTGGAACAAAAAAATAATAATGTAGTGATGGATTCCCTTCAAAACCAACAGGGGAGAATCATATTCATTTCAGCAAATGGAAGTACATATTCCATGTAACTCAGACTCGGTGACTTGGGCAACCATCCCAAGGCTTGTTGGACACAGGCACCCGCCATTGGCCAAAAACAAGGTGGCTGATCTCCCATCCAAACGTATTTTTAGTATCGAATCAATCTGCAGGACTGTGCAGATTAGGCATTGTTCCGCTTGCGGGGAAATGATTCATGTTAAGGGACGTTCCCGCAACATGAATGGTGCTCCGGATTCAACCGGACCAACCATCCACAAACCAAAAGTAATGCTTAGGGTTTATTTGGGTGCATACCTTTGGGCAAATCCCACTGGGTAGGTTAGAATCTACATTTGCCTCCCTTTCGGCCGTTTGGATTTGTTCAGGAGGGTTGGGGCTTGCCAAATGGCTTCAATAAAAAAACCAAGCATTCGAAGCAACCACGAATGCAAAACACCAACTCGATCAACGCGGGTTCGTCTTCTTTTCAGGGCACCTGTTTTTTTTGGGGTTTTGAAGGGGGACGAAAAGGAAAAACACTATTTTGGTGAGGTCCCCTAAACACCCACATGAAAAAACACGAGTCTACAAGAAGCAAGGCTGCATCCCTTGCGGATTCCTTAAGCGGGATGGTGCACTTGGACCCTCTCGAGAAAAGCCAGCTGTTTCAACTAGGTCCTCCAGTGGAGAGCTTAGAATATGGGTACCAACTTTTTTCTGTAGTCTATTTTAGTAGTGGAACCCTCCCCCAAAAAAGGGTAAAAGGGCACTACTACTGGGGGACCCATTCCCTTTCTCGTCGGCTGGCATCACCGAGATTCTTGAGGCAGCCCGTCTTCAAGGGGACAGGACATCAAATCTTAGAGGGAGATCCATTCTCGTTTACCTGCAAAACTGGGTTGGCTTACTTTCCAGCCTTTGGTATGGTAGCCAAACTGACTGTTGAAGCTCTCCACTAAAAATGAACGGAACCAGCACAAACTGAACAAAAACAAGCAAACAAACAAAAAGAAACAAAAACCAAAAAAACGACGAGAAATACTTGAGCCAACAAGAGTGAAGCACTTGAGTCCCTTCTCTCTCTCGGGTTCCCCACTCGTTGGTGAGCAGCCCGAAGGCTGTGCCCAAAAGCTCTGGGTCTTCCGCCGGCACGAGCTGCGGCACCTACTCAGCCAAGAAGGCATCTCCTTGCCCTTTTTCTGTGAGTTCTCCGTGGTAATCAACGCTATTGGGGAGGGTGTTCCCCTCCAAAAGCGAGAAAACTCCACTAAACCATTCTAAATTGGGGTTGATTAATATGGGACTAGGTCGGTAATTCGGTTGCTTTCCGCTCCCCCGCTAAAAGTTTAACTTTTAGTGGTTTAATGGAAAACCCATTGGTTGGCAAAAGGTCCTCCAGTAGAGAGGTTAGAATAAGTTGGTATCAACTTTTTTCTTTGTTGTCTATTTTAGTAGGGGAACCCTCCCCAAAAAAAGGTAAAAGGGCACTACTGGGTGGCAAAGTGTATGTTGAGGTGCTTTCGAAGGAAAATAAAACGGACAAACTGATTGATTTGATCTTCCTGTAGGTTGGGGGGTCTACAGAAAAATGGGCACATCAACTCGGTGAATCATGTGTGAGTATTTCGGCCCCTTTCCTTGGCAGACTCTTCACAGCCGCCTCCCAGAAAAGGGAGGAACAACCATTTCTGCTCTCGAGGGGCCCATGAGCAAACCCCTGCGCCAGTTTCCCTCCGGCCCCAAAGCAACGGTTTAACTGTTGCGCAGAATGACAAACGGCCTGAAGCGACATGATCGCCTTCCGGCGGTTATGAAGCTGACAGTCTGTAGCCAACCTGTCACTTGATTGTTCTACGGTTAAACATCACGGAAAAGGATGCTGGCTTGCAAACAAGCAACAACCTGGGGGTTGATTTGGGCATGTCTCATCTTTTTGCAGACCCTAAAATCGATGGTTCCCCTACGCCCATTTCAGGAGTACCCTCAAACTAAATGGGTGTGGCGTTCTTTCGGGGACCCAACTGAGCTCAACTGGGTGTGTCGTTCTTTAGGGATCCGACCGATGTTGTTTTTCTTTGTTCGGTTTCCCCCAAAAAAAACACAAAAAACACCCCCAAAACTTCCCCAAACCTGCCAAAATGCCGCTTGCTTGCTTTTTTTCCGTCTTCAACCCCCAAAACGGGTACCAACTCCAAAACCGTTTCGCCTCCGGGCGGCACGCTCCGAACGGCGGAACTTCTGCCTGACCGTAGAGCCGGCTGGGCAAGAAGCGCCCGGGCTCGAAGACCACGGCCTGGCGCTTCCGCTGCAGCTGTGGCCGCGCCGTTGGAACCGGGGAACCGGTAGAAACACGGTCGTCCAAGAACCATTCAAGAATTCAGAAGCCGGAGATCCGCAACGATTGGCGACTGCCCCTAACCACCAGCTACCCGGGTTTTGAGCACGTGGCTCATTTGCTTCTTCGGTCCCTAGAAAAAATAAGAACAGACTTCCGGTAGAGATAGATTCCAACTGAAACCAAATAGGGGAAAACTAAACACATTTCCATCTTTTCCTTCCTTGGTCCGCCTGTGTTCGTATCCGCAAATGGAAGCCAGCCTTTCAATAGGAATCACTCCTTAATTAAAAGTTGCAATCTTACTTTGCATGGGGTCAGGTTGACCCCGTAACTTTGCAATATATATAAATATATATAGACACCTGTATATGCATATACGTGCGTATCTATACATATATATGTATGTATGTATGTATGTATGTATGTATGTATGTATGTATGTATGTATGTATGTATGTATGTATGTATGTATGTATTCATGTCTATATATATATATATTACAGAGATAGACATATTGACTCGATCAAATGGAGACTCCCAACCTGCAGAACGTCGCGGAGCCGGCTCTGGGACAGCGCGTGCACGCGGTCCTCACGGCTCGGATCGTTTCGATGGCATTTCGTCGTGTCCTTGTTCAGGTTGGACCCCCCAAAACTGCTGGGGTTCCTTTAGGTTTTCCTTTGCGTTTCCTTTTGGTTTTCCTTCTGCTTTTTTTGGTGCATGAAACCAACACTGGTGGGTGTTTTTTGGGTTTTCCTTTCGGTTTCCCTTTCAAACCACAACAAAAACAGATGCCGTCACGAAAAAGACACGCCCATTTGGCCCGTGGACAAAAGACGATCCAATACAAATCGCTCAACCATCGGTTGGGTCGTGTGTCAGGGGAATGTGCACCACCCAAACGGGGAGCAAAACACATTTGGGTGTTATATATATGGGGTGTGAACTCATCCTGTCTCCTTATTTAGCCTATATGTATTATATGGGTTATTCAGCGGCCAGAAATATAGAGACCCTGCTGGAGCCTTCCAAAGCTAAGTACCAGGAGTCCACAAACGACCCCCCCTCCCCCGAAGTTTCTGGGTAAGGTGATGAGGCTTTCAAAAGAGAGGCTAACAGGGGATACGTGTCCGGGATGCCTGCAAAATCGTCAATGATGTCGGTGCCCGGAATCCCTGGTGTACATGGGGATTTGTTTGGTCCATGTTTGGAGGCTCAAGCTCTAGACTTGTCCAACTGGCTACGTGATGCTTCCAACTGTTGAAACTGGAGGCTTTGGAATACATCCGTAGGATGCCCCAGCCCGAAGCTCCCAATTTTCAAGGATGCCTGCAGGTCTTCTGTCACATGTTTCGGCGGCGCCCAATAACACCTGGTCCCAGAGCGGTGCTCAGTGGAAAGCGGCTCCATGAAAGGAAAGCAAGGGAAAGCAAACCAATTCCAGCCGCGTGTTGATCATCTAGAACCAAGACTGCGCGCTAAAATCCTATAAGGATGGCTCCATAGATGTGCCGCAAGTTTGCAAAAATATGCCGGTTCGGAGCAACCCCTGCCCACCCCATAGAAATACCCAACGAAACCCATACAAACACACATGTATACATGCGGAATAGTAGTCCAGCTGCCAAAAAAACAAAGGATTAGGTTGGGACTGGTTGCAGGAACCCCATCAAGGAATAAAAACACGCTGCTGGGAAGATGGAACGCCCAAGAGAAGCCAAGTAAGCCGTGCCTTGGTTTAAGCTGAGAAACGAGCGACGCCAAATGTCACACGAAGATCCACGGACGACGCACCTCCCCAAAGGACCTGATACAAAGCCTCAAAGCGTCATTTGCTACTAATTGAAAAGACACGATCAGTTCTAGTGGGAATTGTACTTGGCATGATGATCTCTCCCATTTTCGGGACACAAACAAAAACCGCCCCTCCAACTCCAGGAAAGGTTGCAAACAAAGCTTGCTGGAAGGGTTTCTGATCGAACACCAAAAGGTCAAACGCGCTCAATTATCTGGGCCAGTGGGGCCGGTGATAGGAACAGTTGGCAACCTGCCATCTGTTGGCTTCATCCTGGGTTTGAAAAAATAATTAAAAAAACTGGAGGCTGGACATATGAACCATGCTTCAGAAAAGAAGGCTGTCCTTTCCCCCACTTTCCGAGCTTGCTTTGAAGCGCCCCGGTACGAGTACAGAGATCGCTCTCGCCTCGCTGGAGAAGAAGCCCAGGCAAAGAGGCAGCCGCAAATATGGCACCTCGGGCGGGGCTAGAAATATGCGAGAACGCGAGGGATCGCCGGCTTTTCTCATAGATCCTTTGGTTGTTTCTGTTTCTTTTTTTGGTTTTCCTGTTTTTTCTTGTGGGTCCTTTAGCTTGTCTGGCTTCCGTTCAGTTGTTTGTCACTCCCTCAGAATTTCCTTAGTATATTATCATCCTAGCATTGCCCTAGTATTCCTTTGGATTTGCTTGGTGGGCATAAATCCCCATGAACATGATGTCCCTCTCCAAGTCAGCATCTCCAGACAACACATCAGGCTTTATTTTGAGGAGGGAAAGGCCCCATAAAAGGCACCTTAGGGCATGGGTCAAATCCTTGGGTTGACAAGCTTCCATGCCTCCAGGAGTCAGATACCGCTTTCAAGGTCTGGCAAATTCCAATCGGGGAACCCTTCTGACAAATCCTCCATGCCCATTTGGGTCTCAGACCACATTGGCTGGGGTCTTCCTTTTGGTTTGCCTTTCAAAAGGAACGAAGGGTAGCAACTCCCAAAACAGACGAGCGTGGATTTGTTTGCCGGTTTCCGGGGAAGGAGAGAAGCCCTTTTCACAGGGTCTCCTCCATCCTTGGCACCAGTAAATTGCAGCGTGGGAAATCCAGTGACTCCTGCTGGTTGAATGGGAAACCAAAAGAGCAGGCAACTCAAAAGAAAGACACGCCAACAAAAAGGTACCAACTCGTTTGTTTGATTATTTTGTTTAACAAATCACTGACTCGTTTGCTGAATTGATTTCTAAGTTTTTTTTTTTTTTTTTTTTTTTTAAATGGATCACTGGTACAATTCCGCACCCAAATGGATCTCGCAGATCTTCTGGGCTCAGTGCTGTGAGGTAGCTCAGCAGCAGCTCACTGTCGGCCTGGCCCAAGCCTCGGCGGCGCGGGCGGCTCGGGCGGCAGGCGAGGCGCTGGATGTGGCGGTAGCTGGGCGCATCAGGTGCATAATGTATATATATATATATGCATATGCATGTGTATATATATATATACATATATATATATATATGCATATGGGTGTGTACATATATATATATATATATATATATATATGGTCACCCCCCCCCCCCCAGGGCCTACCTTTGCCCTCTTCTAGTTGAAGGTGTCAACTCTACTCTGTGTGCCTCTTTCTTGCAGATGCCTGAAAACACTGTAACATACAGTGTTTTTGTTGTTTTCTACCTTCTATGTGACAGCAAATGTCTGATTATTTGAGGCTTGAAAGGCAGCAAAGCGAAAACGGATTCCGTTTTCAGATTCGAGCCTGGCTTTGATTGAATCACTGGTTTTTACAGTGGTTTTGAGTACACCAGGGAAAAACATTGAAAACATGATGTTTTTGGCAGCTTTGAGCTCTGCAACCTGCACAGACCCAAAAGCACAAAGTCTCCTGAAAATGAAAGCTCTGAGACCTGCACATGCCAAACACATCTCCAGACCAAGTTTGGGAGTCTGGGGATATGTGCCCTTGATTTGTTTAGCCACATTTAAGCTAAATCATATTTGGGAATGAGTTACTATTAAAATTTGATTGCAAAGGCCAAGTGATTTCTTTCCAGAATAAGCTATATTCCAATTCAAGCTGTATTTGGGGATGGATTCTTGATTAAATTATTATGTTCAAAAGCTAATTGAACTCTGTCTGCATTAAAGTATATTTGGATTCTACTGCAATCATATTTTCCTTATTTGCAAAGGCATTCCTGTTCAAATTCTGATCTAATATAAACATTATGGTGAATTATGAATGGTGGTGAATTATGTGCTTACTAAATTCTATTCAATATGCAAATTCAATTCGGATCAAAATCGTATTTGGAAAGGAATGTGTACTTGGATATGTTGGACTCCAGGCTCCAAATTATGAGGCTTGGAGAATCCAACATTTTCCAGATTCTAGGTTTCAGGTGTTTCAAATTGGACATTTCAAGGGATTGGAGATCCAACAAAATGCTGTAAAACACAGTGTTTTGCAGCAGTTGCTCAGATTGTGTTCCCTTGGACCGAATGGACAGCCTTTGACATAACAGTGCAGCAGTGATGACACACCCACACACAATCATCAAACTTTTAGGACCACATGCCCAAACCACATCAAACAAGGCCTCAAATGAGTGTCCTTTTTTCCCAAACACCAGTCTCCACTTGCTACGCAATAAGCCTACAGAAGGTTTATAAACTTTCAGGAAAGTTTATAAACCTTATTGAGTGTTTGACGAGTTTCCCGCGTCAAGGCAACAACACCCTACGAAGTGTTCATGGTATCGTTGAAGGATGGGGGGGGGGGTTGGTTGGAAGTCTTGGGGGGGAGGGGGGGGGGTGGTTGGAAGTCTTAGCAGTGAGGTGTGACTCAGCCAACTTTGTAAAGACTTCTCAGTAACCCCCCCCCCCCCCCTCCCCCCTCCCCCCCCCCCTCCCCCCCTCCCCCCCCCTCCCCCCCCCCCCCCCCTCCCCCCCCCCCTCCCCCCCCCTCCCCCCCCCCCCCCCTCCCCCCCCCCCTCCCCCCCCCCCTCCCCCCCCCCGTAAAGAGTTCTGACCCCCCCCTGCCCTTGTTGCAGGGAAACCGTCAAACCCTTGACATGGTTTATAAACTGTCTTGTAAGTTTATAAACTCTTTGCTGTTGTTACTCAACATGACTTGTCACCCACAAAAAATATGCAGCAACAGCACACTTCTTGCGTATATATGCTCACACGCCCTGTCTTTTAAAATAAGAGGGTTTTGTACATTTTGAAGTGCAAAGGTAGGCCCTGGGTGGGGGGGTGAGCATATATATATATATACACATGAACAAATAACCCCCCCCCGCCAAAAAAAACAACTCAACCAAAGAAGCACAGGGCTAGGCATACATACCGACTACAAACTGCCGATTCGAGCCCACCAAATCGCGGAGAGGACATGGCCATGGGTCGAAAACCCGTACCCCCAGTGAACATCCCAATCCCCACTAAACTAGGTTCTAAAAGGGTGGTGAATTCACCTACCCACCAAAATGGGATCCCAAAACGGTCTTGATAACCACAGCCATGTGGCCATGGGGCATAAGCTATGGCTCCATTTTGGGGTGGATGAACATCCATTTGCCACCTATTTTGATGTTCACCAGGGGTACAGGGTTTTGACAACCACAGCCATATGGGAAATTGGGTCATGGACCCTGCGAGAATATCTTCGGAACCTCCCGCTCCGCAGCTTAGCTCCGGGCGGTCCTCGAAGGATGGCATGGTGTGCACGTGCAGCACGTCATCCTGCCGAATTCGCCGTTCGGCCGTCGGATCCTTCGAAGGGCGTTGGCATTCCTCCCGCCCGATTTTTTTGGTTTTCAAAGAAACTGGGCGTGTGGGTGGCAGACGTCAATTCTTAAGAGGAAGTTGAAAGTATGATATTTCACAAACAAAAAGCGGATGTGGGTGCCATGATGAACTCTGAGGTTCAGAAGTTGAAAGTATGCCAGAGGGCATGATCTAGCGCTCGTGCGATGCAGAATTGTTGGGGCCAACCGAACGGACCGCTAGCACAAAAAGTAGCTTGTTTTTGGTGCAAAGAAGCCATAAACCACGTACAAACATGCAACAACTCAATAAGGTACACTAAGCTTAGTCTATCAATGTTGGGGTCTCTATGGTCTAATGTACCCTCTTTTAGGCTAATGAACGAAAGGCAACACCCAGGAAGCTCCTAACATGTTGTTGGATACATTCATGTCCCTTTTGCAGGGCCAGACTTTAGAACCCCTGAAGACTTAGCGTTGTGCAAGCTGAAAGGGGAAATAAAGGGAAACCCAAAGGGCAACCTGGCAAACAGGTTCTTGAATTCTGGAAAGGTGGGGTGCCTTGGCGTTTAAGACTCGCCTTTTGTTTTTTGCTGATTGACACATTTAGATGCCGATGTGGTCCTTCTGGTCCTTTTGCCGCGTCTGGCTTGTTTTAATGGTGCACAGGTTGAGTTGCATAGGACTCCATAAGTTGTTGCCCTGTTCGCTTCCCTTAAACCCACGAAAACCGAGGTAATCAGCTCACGCAAAGACACCCCGCCCCCTTCCCTTTCTGGAACCTCGAGAAGTGAAATTCAATCGTTTCAACGGGCACCGCCAGTACAAATCAATTACGGCTGAGTTGGGGAAACATGTACCATTCCACAAAAAAAAAGCACCCAGGGTCACAAGAGAAAAATGATCTTCCAAACTACCCTCCCGCAGGTGCGTCAATGATCGTGGAAGGGAGGGTGCTCGCTAGACATTGCCAACCAACAGCTCACTGTGGATTTGCGGAAATCCGGAAGGTGTGGTTTGTCCGATTTTTCTCTTCGGGGACACCTGCACTCGGTTGCTTTCTGCTCCCCTGCTAAAAGCTTAACTTTTAATGGTTTGATACGGAAAATCCACTAGTTGGTAAAAAGTGAAAGTCTTAACATCCCTTGGTAAAATGCACCTCTGGTATAGTGTAAGAATGACCATAGTAGGCAACCAGGCAGTTGATCCTTGATTGTGACAAATGACCTTATATTTTCTCTTAGGGGCCACATCTAAGCAAACTGCACCAAAGTAAGGATTCGCGTGGCTCGATTCTTTGCTAAATAAGGCCAAATCAAGGCCTTACCAACTCCTTCTGCTTCGGACGGGACACCCGTAGCTTCAGCCCTTCCTTTCGGCGCTCTCACGGCTTTCCCGAAGCGGCGCTGAGGCGCGGCCAGCGCCGGCCTCCGACCAGATGCTTTGGCCCGCCAGGTTGCTGGGCAGGGCCTCGCTCTGGAACCGGTGCTCCTTCATGGCCTCAAAGCGGATGGAGCTGCGTTTCTGTTGCTTTTTCCCCTTGTTTTTCTGTTGTTGTTTTTTGGAAAAACAAAGTAAAACTTTGGTTTACCAAAAAAAGATGGACTGCGTTTCTGCGCTTGTTTCTTTTGTCGTTTTCCTTTTTTTCAATAAAACAACTAGGCTGGACAATTTCTCTTTGTTTGCCTGGTTAGTGGGAAACCAAGGGACTTCAGCAAAAAAGCAAACACAAAAAGAAGAAGGGGGGGAGCGAATTCTGGGGAAGGAAAGACGTCAAGCTTTGGTTTGCCAAAAAAAGACTTCCTACCTCTCCTCCTCCAAGCTTAACCCAATACCTGCTGTGGGAAGTGGATTCACTGGTCCTAATATTGCTGCGATAAGCCGGGAATGAGAAATGAAGACTGGATTCATTCCCAGATTCCCTGAGCAAGAAAATGCGGGGAGTTGCGGGGGGCTTGCAAGACTTCTCACTAAGGGCATGGGGACTCTTTGAATCAAAGCTTAACAATAGCCAGGAAGAATGAGTTGGAGCACGTAAGAGGCCTGATTACTTGGGCTTGGTGCCCGCGCATCAGTTGCCCAAAACCATTGTTTTGGGGCTAGCAAACCCAGCGAGCACGTCGCTATGGTTGGCCCCCAAATTTGGTCAAAGCTCAATATTTGCCTCAGTATTTTCTACCATGACCATCAAAAAAGACCAAACATATTGGATATTGCCAAATGCTGACGCAGTAAGCAGGGTTGTTAATTGGAGGAAACACCTTGCTGTGTCTACTCCGTAAAACTCCAACCATCCCGTGGGCCATGGTGTTCTTTTTCATCGACTGGACTACAGCGCCGCTAACCACAAATCTACTGGTTCATGAAGGGAATAACCCAGGTTTCAAGACACAAGAAACCCCAAAACCTCATGGGCAGCGTTTTTACCGCATACGGCAGCCAGTGGAAATCTTTCAGTCTTACACAAGGAGAATAAAAAAGGAGAAGAGCAAGGGGAAGAGGCTCCCTATTCACTTGGTTGCTGCAACGACCCCTCTGCTAAAAGCTTTTCGTTTTGTGTGGGTCCCTTCTGGACAATCCGACCAAAGTCTCAAAAAAAGTTCAAGTCCAAAAGTGCGTTCCCAAAAAACACCATAAAGTTCAGGAACCCCAAAGATGTAAAAAAATCCTTGTGACCTTTTGCCTTATTTGGCCTCCTTCCCCTCGCGCCTAACCTCAAAACCTTGGGAGGGGTCCGTAGAGTGTCTGGCCTATCTGGGCAAAATTACTGAAACCGGAACTCCGGAATCCCAACTAGCGGGCCTTGCGAGTGTAAAGTCGTGCCCCCAACATCATCCCCTTCTACTCTGTTGCCCCAGAGGTACCCTGGGAATAACAGGCTAACTTTTAACGGGAGACACCAAGAAGGGTCAAAAGCTCGATTCGCCCTGGGCAAATGAGTATAACTTTCTGGACGATATTTGGACAGAAGGCGTCCAATCGTCCAATCTTCGGATCCATCGAAGGTTTCTTGGTTGCTGTTGAACCCTCTGCAAAAAGATTGACTTTTTGTGGGTTTAGTGGAAAACCCCTTGACTTTCCAAAAAGTTAGTCTAAAGATCCAACCCAATAGCAGTCAAGGTTTCTGAGGTGCCGGCGGGCTTCTCCATCTTCCTTGGCCCATGGCTGCAATACGACAGCAAACGCCCGAATCCGCTGGGAAAAAGGTCGGGTGGAACCCAGCCCAAAAATTGGAAAGGGGGGGTGGAACCCAACTAAACAAGGGGGAAACCAATCCGAAAAAAGCTTTGTTGAAACAACTGGTGGAACCCATGGAGAAAGGAGAAACAGGTGGGGTGAAAGTCGAACACCCGCAAATAACAGTTTTATCTCCTTGCGCTGCACACAGTACTGGTGAAACCACCTAGCAAGGTCTTGGAATCTGGCTGGAGTCCGGACCCAATATGGCAGACATGGGACTGGGCCCCCAACTCTCGCAAGAAGTTCGCCAGATTCCAGGAGTTTCGCCACAAACCAGGGTCATTCAACTTTCAACGGTCCTGAGGAGTTTGGCCGCCAACCGGGATCATTCAACTTTCGATGGCGCGCAACTTAGGTTCGGAGGATGCAAGCCCCGCAATTTCAAAGGCGCTTCCATTCGGATTCTCAACTTGGTCCTCCAGTAGAGAGGTTCGAATAAGGGTACCCTTTTTCTCTAGTCTATTTTAATTTTAGTAGGGGAACCCTCCCCCAAAATACTTTCGGTAAACGGGCACCTAGCTGGGGGACATCGTCCAAAGGGATGCCGCTGCGCTTGCTTTCTCGCGCGCCTTCATGGCCCAGAAAATGCATGTGCATTTCGCGCTGGCGCAAGTTTTGCCTTCTAAGGCTATTTAGCCAAAAAAAGGTTAAGATTCAAATGACCTGTTGATCTTCTAAGGCTATTTGCAAAGAAAGTCAAAATTCAAAGACCAGTTGATTTTACTTTTTTTGAAAACCGCCGCCGCGCCTTCATGGCCCAGCGCATGCGCATTTCGCGCTGGCGCTATCTTTTTGCCGCCGGGCTGCTGGAAGAGCAGCGTCGCGCGGTTGCCCTGCCCAAAGGACTTCACCATGTAGCACCGCTTCCTGAGATGCCGCGTTTTCGAGCGCGCGAGAAAAGCGGGAGCAACTGACTCACGGGGCGATTGGCCCAACAAAAATACCGAGCTGCTTGCCGACTGTTGGCTAGGACCGTCTTCCCGAAAAGTGATAAGTCCACTATAAAACCACAAAGTTATAAGTCCACTATACAACTGGAGAAGTTAGTTTTAGGGACTTAGTGATGGCCAGAACAAGGTGGGTGATAATAGTTGCTCTGTCCATGGCTTTCCTTGCTTGTCTCCGGCTCACAATGTACCAAGCATAGAATATGATGTACCCATATCTCCATTTGCCCCTAGGGCGGGCTTACACTCCTGATCAACATGAAACCAGAAATGGCTCCTAAAGTGAGTTGACCCCCCTTGTGAGAGCCGAAATAAACCTATCATTTGTAATTCCCCGATCCCAGTCACGTGGATCCCGGGTGTTTCGCCTACTTCCACATAGCTGATTGCCTAGGTCTGAAAGCTACAGATCCATCTGTGGTTCCCTTTCTTGCTCTCCGATCCCAATATTGCAATTCTCAACCCTTGTCCTAAAGAGAACCAGCGCTGCGGTAGAGCCTTACGAATTCATCCGAAGCTAACAATAGCAGGTAAGCAGCTGGATTCTCCAACTTCACTTTTCGATTGGCGGCTTCCCTTACCAGTGGGATCGGATTTGCCAAATTTGGGTTGCCACAGTCTGAAAGTCCCTGTTCCCTGGAGCCAGATGTTGGATCTTGCTCAGGGCCAGAAACTGCTCGGAGTCTCCTTTGGATCCCAAACAAACGGGTCATGACGCTTGAGCTATTGGTTTCTCCTGGCTCCATTCTTTGAGGGCAAATGGAAACTCCAGTAACTGGCGCTCCAACCAACATAGAACAATCGCAAACATCTCCACCGAACCTCCATGGGTAAGCTTGTTACGGATATGACATGCTAAGACAATGCCTTCGGAGTCCGCGTTTTGTTTGAGTCACTGCAATTGGCCTTGACTCAAGGTGGATCCCCCTCCCCAAATGCCTCACGAACGAGCCAACGAAGTTCCCAAGTTGAACATCTGCATCTACGGCCGCAGGTGGTGACTCCAAAAACAAATACCAGTCCCCCGAAAAACGGAGGACTATCCCTACACAGGGTCCAGCTGACTGGTTCCACTGTTCGGCGGGGTGTGTGTGTGTGTGTGAGTGTGTGAAGAGGGTCCAACATTAATGCACCCTTAAAACAAAAGTGTGTAAAGAGGGACCTACATTAATGCACCAATTGAAAAAAAGAAGAGGACATGTGTGTAAAGAGGGTCCAACGTTAATGCACCCTTAAAACAAAATAAAGAGGAGATGTGTGTAAAGAGGGTCCAACATTAATGCACCCTTAAAACAAAAAACAGAGGAGATGTGTGTAAAGAGGGTCCAACATTAATGCAGCCTTAAAAAAATGTGTAAAGAGGGTCCAACATTAATGCACCCTTGAAAAAAAGGAGGAAATGTGTGTAAAGAGGGTCCAACATTAATGCACCAATTGAAAAAAAGTGTGTGAAGAGGGTCCAACATTAATGCACCCTTAAAACAAAAGTGTGTAAAGAGGGACCTACATTAATGCACCAATTGAAAAAAAGAAGAGGAAATGTGTGTAAAGAGGGTCCAACATTAATCCAACCATAACACAAAGTGTGTAAAAAGGGACCAACATTAATGCACCCTTAAAGCACAAAAAAAAATATCAATGTGTGTAAAGAGGGTCCAACATTAATGCAGCCTAAAAAAAATGTGTAAAGAGGGTCCAACATTAATGCACCCTTGAAAAAAAAGAAGGAAATGTGTGTAAAGAGGGTCCAACATTAATGCACCCTGAAAAAAAAGAAGGAACTGTGTGTAAAGAGGGACCCACATTAATGCACCCTTGAACAAAAAGAGGAAATGTGTGTAAAGAGGGTCCACCATTAATGCACCCTTTGAAAAAAAGTGTGTAAAGAGGGTCCAACATTAATGCACCCTTGAAAAAAAAGGAGGGTATGTGTGTAAAGAGGGTCCAACATTCATGCACCCTTGAAAAAAGGAGGAACTGTGTGTAAAGGGGGACCAACATTGATGCACCCTTTTAACAAAGTGTGTAAAGAGGGACCAACATGAATGCACCCTTAAAAAAAGAGAGGAAATGTGTGTAAAGAGGGTCCAACATGATTGCACCCTTGAAAAAAACAGAGAACATGTGTGTAAAGAGGGTCCAACATTAATGCACCCTTTGAAAAACAAAGTGTGTAAAGAGGGTCCAACATTAATGCACCAACTGAAAAAACAAAGTGTGTAAAGAGGGTCCAACATTAATGCACCGTTTGAAAAACAAAGTGTGTAAAGAGGGTCCAACATTAATGCACCAACTGAAAAAACAAAGTGTGTAAAGAGGGTCCAACATTAATGCACCGTTTGAAAAACAAAGTGTGTAAAGAGGGTCCAACATTAATGCACCCTTTGAAAATAAAAGGGTGTAAAGAGGGTCCAACATTAATGCACCCTTTCAAAAAGAGGAAAAACGGAAAGAAACCTGCGGCTTCACCCCGAGCTCTAAAACTGTTGCGCCACACCCAGCAGTTGGCCCGGGAGCTTTGGGCCAGTTGCGCCAAGGCGCCGCCAGCGCGGGTGGGTGTCGATCTTCCATTGGAGGTGCCCATCGGAGAACTCCAAGGCCTCCGAAAAAGAAAATCTAGGGAGGTCCCGTATTTATCGAAGGAAGTTTAGAAGTCTAACTTCCGACAATATCGACAACTCAAGCAGAGCAGTGCAGAGCGAGAGATAGAGAGAGAGAGAGAGAAGAAGAGATGAAGAAGCGATGAAGAAAGATGAAGAAGCGATGAAGAAAGATGAAGCATGGTGTGCGAAATGTTAGAAAGGTCGCGAAATGCTGTATTTTTCAATGTTTTGAGCCTCCAGACGGCCCAGAAGTTACTTCGGTAAAGCGGCGGGTGCGGAGCCTTTGGTCGGAATTGCTGGCAAAAAATCGCACGCGGCCTGCGCGCGGTGCACATTTGGAAGTCAAAATCGTAAAAACACTACATGCTCGGGCTACTTTTGGAAGCTCCAACTTTCAAAAATCGCACGCGGCCTGCGCGCGGTGCACATTTGGAAGTCAAAATCGTAAAAACCTGAGAGGGTCGGGCTACTTTTGGAAGCTCCAACTTTCAAAAATCGCACGCGGCCTGCGCGCGGTGCGCGTTTTTAAGATGCAATGTAGCTTGACAGCGGTAAAACGCATTGGAATGGCAACGCGCAAGGCTTTTATCTAACTTGGAAAAATGCGTGGCGCCTGCGCGCGGTGCGCGTTTTTTAAGATGCAATGTAGCTTGACAGTGGTAAAACACATTGGAATGGCAACGCGCAAGGCTTTCATCCAATTTGGAAAAAATGCGTGGCGCTTGCGCGCGGTGCGCATTTCTAAGATGGAATGCAGCTTGGCAGTGGTAAAACGCATTGGAATGGCAACGCGCAAGGCATCCTACGCTGCCCTGTTGAGTTAGTCGCGCTCTAGATAGATAGACAGACAGACAGATAGATAGATAGATAGATAGATAGAAAGCTGGAAAGATAGAGAGACAAGTAGACAGATAGATAGAGAGGTAGACAGGCAGATAGATAGGTAGATAGACAGATAGATAGATAGATAGGGAGGTAATGTCGCTGTGACCGTGTGGCGTTTCGGCTCTGTCTTGTCAGTTGCTCCGCGTATGTCATGTTTGTTCAATGTCCCGGTTTTCGTCACCAGCATCACTAGCATCACCACCACCACTGTTCATGTTTGTTCATGTCCCGGCTTCAATCGCGGAGCGGCAACTCACATCACCACCACCACTACCACCACTACACTTTCACCAGCACTCCCACCAGCACCACACACAGGCCGAGAACATGTTAATGTTCTAGTTTGTTGTTTGTCACCAGCCGACCTACCAGCATCACGCTCAGGCGGACAACCTCTTGATGTTTTTTTTTTAGTTTGTGTTCCCACAGAACGCATATACTTCCACAGACACATGCCAGTGACATCGTTTCCTTGTGTATCCCGCACGGTGGAGCGCGTCTTTTCTGACCGCTCCGGACGCCATGGCAGACGCATTTGATAAGACGGTGGCGTTTTTGGCAGCCTACTCGCAGGAGCTTGTGCAAATGAAGAAGCCGACGCTTACAGCTTTGCTCAACAGCAAGCGGCGCAGTCAGGTACCAGAGTGGGAGCGAGCCAGAAATTTCTGCAGACGAAAACTTTCAAGCTTGGAGCCAGCTCAGCAGCAGATTTTGGAAGACTGGGAGTTTGTGCTTTGTGACAAGTCCACGTTGGAGGCTGCGCCTTTTCTGGCCGGCCTTCAACGCTGCTTTTGCCGCGTGGAGGCATTTTTGACAGAGACGGCAGAGGCGATAAGATACTCAAGCAAGCCAAGCTTGCTGGCAGCTTTGCAGAGTCGACACATGCAGGAATTTCAAATGTCGAGCTTTTGCCGTGTTTTCCTGCTGCGCTATAGCGACCGCTTGGCGTCTGCGGAAAAGGATTTTTTGCTTGCAAAGGAAGCTGAGTTGTGTCAAGTGAGTGCTGCGGCAAAAGAAGCTGCAGCATCGCGTCGTGCTCCTGCCTTTGTCGAAGTGCAAGCCTTCTTCGCTCAGAATGCTGTTGAAATTGCTCAGCTACAGAAGCAAAGCTTGTCAGCTGTTGTCAGCAGCAACCGCGCGAATTCCGACACACGTTGGAAGCAAGCTAAGAATTTCTTCGACAGGCACGTGGCATTGTTGAATGCCGACCAGAAAGAGCATTTAGAAGACTGGGAGTTTGTGCTTTGTGACAAGTCCAAGTTGGAGGCTGCGCCTTTTCTGGCCGGCCTTCAACGAAGCTTTGCAAGGCTGAGTGCTTTTGTCCAAGCTTACTCTGCCGTGCTGCGAGCTCAAGAAAAGAGCTCCCTGGTGAAGGCATTGCAAAGCCTTGACCAGGGAGCTGATGTAAGCTCTTCCTTTTGTGCTATGTTTCTCAAAAGATACAGACAGCATCTGTCGCCGGAGCAAGAAGCACTCGTGCAAGGCTGGGAGCGTGACTTGTGTGTCTCCGAAACCGCTCTGGTCGAAAAGTTTTTGACTATGCTTCAGCAAAGAAAGGCCGAGCTGCAGGCACTGCGAGCTACTTGTGCCGAGGAGCTGTTCAGCGGCCATGGCAAGAAAGCCGATGATGATTTTCGCTTCGGCTATGATTTCCTCCGGAGAACTTGGTGCCATCTGTCCCTGGTGGACCAAGAGCGTGTTCGCAGGGCGCTGCAGCCGCTTCTCATCGAAGTGGAACACATGCCATTAAAGGCATGGCATGAGCCAAAGCTGCACGCCAGTGAGACAGTTTTAGGGGACCACTTGCCGCGGCCTCGGCTGCCAAAGAGCTTACGGCAGTTGTACGGCAACAGCATGGACGCCGAAGCCCGCATAATGCCGTTTTTCCACCGTGTGCATGAGGTGGACTCCTACATGCTGAGCATGGAGTTTCAGGACTGCCATTACTGCAAGGAAGGCTGGTTCGGCATTGCCGCAGGCAAAGGCAAGAGTGGCCTGCCCGGAGGCTTCGAGACCCAAGCGTTTCAGAAGACCAACTTCTGTCGGGCACCTGAGGCCGATTGGCTGGAAGCCGGCAAGCCAATCTGTGAGAACTGCTTGCACGAAGCCAAGGAACGTGCCAAGGCGATGTTGCCCAAGGAGCCGTTCCGCTTGACGGCGGCCAACCACGCAGATCCGGGAGAGACTCTCCCGGAGATCGATGCCCTGACTTTCTTCGAGGAAGAGATCCTGTCCCCGATCCAGCACTTGGTGCGGATCTTTACGCTGTACGGCACGGGCCAGTGTGAGCTGCGAGGCCACGTGGGCAACCTTTTTCAAAACGGCCCGCAGTTCGTGCGAGACATTCCTGCTGCAGTTGGAGACATGAAAATGCTCCTGATACGCCGCTGCAGCAAGGATGTGCACAGGAAGCAGCGAGTACCTTTTCTGGTCTCGCGCCGGCGTCTCGAGCGTGCCCTGAACCGACTGTGCCGGCCAGTCGAAGATGGAGGCTCCGCGGCGTTGCGCCCGGGTGGCCTGACTCCCGAAGGATACTGCGGCTTCGTGAACCGTGCAAACTTGGAGCAGTACTCCAACACTGAAGAGGGAGCAGAGCCTGAGGGCTTGGAGGTGCAGGAAGTGCAGCAGCAGATCTGGCCCCAGATCGAAAAGAGGCTCTTTGCGATGTGGATTTCCAGCACTTTGTCTTTGCAGCTGGCCTCGCAAGTACGAGCTTTGCACGAGCCGCCAGAGAGCGTCAGTGATGCTGACCGCATGGAGAAAACTTGGTGTAGCTTGAGACAAAAGCTCGACGAGCTGGACTTTGCAGCTGTCGGTGGCCCAGATGAGTTGGTCACCTCGACTCTCGTGGGGTACTTAGTCTCGCAGCAGCGGTGCGTCTTTTCTGACCGCCCTTTGACAGACCAGCCAAGCATGGGACACGACCAAGTTGAGCAAATTTTGCACGATGAGTTGACAGCCGTGCAAGAGCTGTCGGCCTGGGAGGAGCAGCCGCTGACTCCCGAAGGCTTTTGGTCTCCCGAAGACTTGGCGGGGCAGCAAACGCAGCAAGAGATGCAAGAGGATCTTTGGAATGCCTTGGGCGATGCACATCGCTCAGATGTGCTGGCCTCAGCCAGTCTTCAGCGCCACGGCGCAGGTCGTGTGGCAGGCCTGCCCATTGTGGATCCCCCCACAGTGCTGTCTCGCAACGTGCTCATCCGTGAGGATCACCCGTACTACATCGCTGCAGGGTTCCTCAAACTCTTTCCGCTGGGACAGGGGGACTACTGGGCCCATGTTCAGGAGCGAGCGGAGAACCAGCAGCCGCTCTCTTTCTGGGAGTGGATCAAACACATGCTGCTGCGAGCCGACGGTCGCTTCCAAGCGCACCCGCGCTTTTACTTTTTTGCCTTGAACACGGCCCTGCGTAATAAGGCACTACGCTCAAGAACTTACTTTGTGAAGCGCCAAGTCGGCCTGAACACGAGTGCTTCGTACACCAACGAAGAGTTGATGAAGATGGGGAAAGCTCAGTTCACAAAGGTGATTGCTGCTTTCGAGCAAGCCATGATTGGCTCGGCGCAAGAGAAGCTGCAGCAGAGGAGCGATCTTGAAGCTTTGGTAGAGCAGATTGAACAAGAGACGCTCGAGCAGAAGGCAGAGCAAGTTTTGGAGGTGTGGCGCACAGCTGTCAGCGCCGAGAAAGAGGCATTGGCGCCTGACTCACCTGTGCAGCAGGCACTGAAGGAGCAATGCGTGGCTGCAGAGCATGCACTTGAGGCTGTTTTGGGAGCTTCCGCCGTGACCGAGACTGCGTCTGCGCGTGTCTTTTCTGACCGCGTCGGCGACACAGCGCGCGTCTTTTCTGACCGCGCTGTGGATGCGTCTGCGCGTGTGTTTTCTGACCGTGTGGGCGACGCAGCGCGCGTCTTTCCTGACCGCGCCGTGACTGCGTCTACGCGCGTTTTTTCTGACCGCGTGGGCGACGCAGCGCGCGTCCTTTCTAACCGCGCTGTGGATGCAGCTGCAGCCGAAGACCCAGAGCTGCGTGCCTTGTTGGAAAAGCTTCAGAACTCGCTGAGTTGCTTGCAAGCAGGGGGAGAAATTCCTTGCCACTTCACGACCTTGAC